CTACACTCAGTAAAAAATAACTATAAGGGGCGGTGGTTTTTGTCGAATATCTCGGCGGTGGTGGCACTTATCGAGATGCAATTTTGAAAATCAGGCTTCTGAAAAGCCGCTTGATATCCTATACAAATCCGAATCAAATCCGTTCGTGGAAATTTGATTTTTAGCAAATGACGTTTTCGAAACTGTAAAAAACTATAAAGGCAGTCGAAAGAAATTCATTCAAAAATTCCCAAATTAGTTTCTTTGCAAATTTACAATACAATCATGGTTGCTAGACCGTTTTCTATTAAAAATTGTTTTCTGGCATTAATGGTAGCCCATTTTTTGTGATTCGACCCGTCATGGCCAGGCCAGCTGATGCCTCCCATCTTGTAACGTTCTTTAAAAATTTCCTTTGTCGGAGCATTATTCTGGCCGCGTCCTTAGCTTGGTTTGGGGCTCTAGTATTGTGGGCCAATTGGAAACGGCACCGAAAGCAGCCCAGGTGTTCGCGTGGACAAATAAGTAATCTTATTTGTCACGGCGAAATTCGAACTCGAGGCTTAATTTCGCAACGGCTTCAAAAAGCGGACTATATTTTTGTTTTTAGGGAAATTATATGATGCACTATGCCGGCTTGCTACTATATTTGCTCTTTAAAACACGTGGCGGTGGCGAAAATTGACGTCCAAGGCGCCTGAAACTCAACATTATCGGGGGTAGCATCAGCGAAAGCTCGGATTAGCCTTAAGTTTTGTCGCCATGCTTCCCGGACTAAATAAAAGCCATGTCAAGATTAAGAAACACGTAAACCACGATTGAATCGTAACTAGGACCGTAGGTTCGGCCGATCGGTGGATCCGTGGAACGCCTTCGAAATTCCCGATGCAAGCTCGACTCTCTTGGGTCTTTAATTTTTGTCTCTGACGAGATGTCAGCTTAGAAACATTGCGTTCAGCTGCACAATTACATGGAGCAGTCGTGTCCAAGCAGCCTAAGTCACCCTGCACGAAAATTAAGAGTTCAGCCGGGATTTAAGCAACTTCTAGTCGCTTCCGCACCTGTGAGAGATTACATTATAGAATTCCCTCCGCTTTCTTGACGTTTCAAATTGCGTTTCCAATTGGCCCACAATACTAGAGCCCCAAACCAAGCTAAGGACGCGGCCAGAATAATGCTCCGACAAAGGAAATTTTTTTAAAGAACGTTACAAGATGGGAGGCATCAGCTGGCCTGGCCATGACGGGTCGAATCACAAAAAATGGGCTACCATTAATGCCAGAAAACAATTTTTAATAGAAAACGGTCTAGCAACCATGATTGTATTGTAAATTTACAAAGAAACTAATTTGGGAATTTTTGAATGAATTTCTTTCGACTGCCTTTATAGTTTTTTTACAGTTTCGAAAACGTCATTTGCTAAAAATCGGACTTTCCACGAACGGATTTGATTCGGATTTGTGCAGGATATCAAGTGGCTTTTCAGAAGCCTATTCTCAAAATTGCATCTCGATAAGTGCAAAAACCGCCGAGATATTCGACAAAAACCACTGCCTTTATAGTTATTTTACTGAGTGTAGCCCCCGTTTTATGTCAAGGTTTTCCACCTAAAATGGCATCTAAAAAGCTACGTGAAAATCTTGAAGTTTTGAGCCTCAGGTTTTTGATGCCTATTCAGGCTCCGGTAAAGATTGAAAAAGGCGAGGAACTCGGGATAGAATAGGGGAAAAAGTATCCGGATCCCCCACTATATACCTATACAAACCCCGCACGATTCAAAATTCGCGGAAGCCCGCAGCGAAACCTGAGTCATCGCGGAAGCCAGCGGGGTGAAGCGGGGCACGGGCAAAGCGGATGGTCATCAGATCGATGATGCCGATCGGGGGACAGTTGACGATGAGGCTAGCCGGATCTCCAAACACGACTCGTGCGATGGGGGGCGAGAAATCGTCTAGTAAGACCGAAATTCATGTCATTGGTCGATGGACTAGGGGGAGTACCGTAGGCTTTTTCCACGCGTAGACCTAGAAAGTACACTACTATGGAATACGCTTCAGTACAGTGTACTGTACGAGTGTTCTATCTGATAAGCCTTTAGAGTAGTAAAAATGTCAATACGGGTTCTGTACGTTTGACTACCGTGCAGCATGTATATTACAATGTACAGCACGAATACAGTACAGTACGTTCCATCCCAGCCAAGTACGTTTTGCAACACGACAGTACGATTAGGACGCCGAGTAGCTTAGGATCCACCCAGCAAAGTATCCTTTTACAGTACTTTCCACCATCACGATACTACGACGCATGACGAAGTCAGCATAGCTTAACGTAACATAAGTCTTTACTATACGTAGGTTAGAAGTTCAAGTACAAACACTCTTCCACAACCGCACCGCACTTTCCACCAAGTTTTTGACTTTCATCAGTAGGTTGTATTTGTCGTGACGCCTACTCCCCTCCTATCAACTAGACCTCCTCCCGACAAAACAATTACTATTTTGGCCAAATTTCGCCCCCGCCACCATCAGCAGACTGTTGTGGTACACTGAAGCTAGCCAGGGCTCGGGAAATCGAAAAGAACGCAGGCGCGAAAATCGACTGGATCCGTTTAGGGAAGGGCTGTTCCGAGGAGGGCGCGCACATGGCTTTCCAGCCATTTGATGGCTCCATTTGGATTGGGCAGGGGCTCATGTCACTTTTAGGATCAGAAAGATACTGTTTTCCGGGAGGGGACAAGACTATCTTTGTCTCATTGACGTCGTTGGTCTAGCCGAGGCCACGGGGTTGCGGTGATCGAAATAATGGGGGATCGGGGGTTTTTGGGGATTGGGGATCGAAAGGTTGAAGGGATTGAGACGGGAAGGAGTATGGCTTTTCTGAATTTTTGACAGATTCTAGAGGCACTGGAACATTTAAAGAGATGGTGAAAACATGGGCCAACTTCAAGAGAAGGCTAAATTGGGTTATTTTTTTTTATCCATTAGAACTTTTTTTTTTTCTATACCATTTTTTTTTTTTTTTTTTTATGAAAAACCTTTTTTTTTTATTTTTTAAATTTTTTTTTCCTTTTTTTTTATATTATTAATTTATAATTACAATCTATTCCCCTTTTTGCCCCTATAAACAATTTTTTTTTTTGAGCGCGGCTTTTATTTAAAAAAAACAATTATTACCCATCAAAAACAACCCCACCCCAATAAAAACCCAAAAAAACCCTCGTATCCGCAAAACAAAAGAAAAAAATAAAATAAAAAATAAAGAAAAAATTCCTGAAGCGAGAGAGGCATAGAGATGAGAGAGACAGCTTGAAAAGGGGAGAGAAAGAGAGGGAGAGAGAGAGAGAGAGAGCGATAATCGGGAGAAAAGTTCTGAAAAAATACTAGTTTGGTGTCAAAGACAGAGCGATATAGAGCCACAGCGCCAAATATTGAGGAAAAAAGCGTTTCGCAAGCCTTCGGAGCCAAAATGACCAATCTGCCTCTAAAATAACCAGCCCACCATCAAAAATCAAGCGCCCAGACCAGCCAAAGACCCGAAAAGAACACATACACCTACACTTTCCGCCCATCAATCCACATCAAGCTGGGGGGCGGGTGGCTAGCACCTATTTTTGCCACCTGACCCCCCGAGGGCAAGCTGGGAAACTCCGAAAAACTGGACCCCCTGCAAAAGCCGCGGCCAAAAATCAGGGCCCAAAATCGCGGTGATCGGCCGATCGGCTTGCAAGTCGGGATGGTCGGCGGGGAAAAACGTGGAAAAACGCTGGGGTGACGGGAATCGGATACGAACCATCCATCCGACCATTCATCCACACCCCACAACGGGCCGTTTTGGCTGTGGCTAATGCTGCTCCTTTTCCCGTTCCACTCGATCCATCATCGCTCCCGGCCACCACCGCGGGGGGCAACAAATGGTCTTTTGGCCGCGTTTACTCATCTCGTGGGTCGGCGGGTGCAAAGTGGATGTGAACATTTTGTTAAACTACGCCTTGGGGCAAGAAAGCGTCGTTCAGGCGCATGCTACGTGAGAGAGAGTTAATTGCGCTGAGAGAGAGAGACAGAGTGAGAGAGAGCAAGAGCGATAGTGCTAGAAAGAGGTACTACTCCTAATTTTTAGCTAGCCAAACGCTGCTGGGAACTCGGCGAAGATTCGTTCCTCAACTCCACCCGAGAAGCCGTCGACGTCAAGCTGCGTGGGCTGGTGAACAACGCGACACAACGGTTAGTGTGTGACTGTTTCGCCTGATCGAAGATTCCCACGTCCGAATGGCGTATCATAAAATTTCCGCGTGCACGTAGCGGCAGATGGCCAGATCATGCGTTTCGATCAGGATTAGGCATGAGAATGTATAATAAATTAATGATCAATTTTCTATTTTTAAGACTAAAAGTTACGGTGATTTTAAGGGCCTAAGCTTCAAAGTATCAAAAGGAGAATTACGACAGAAAAATGAGATTTTTCAGATTCGAAGTCCTCACCGGCTTGCATAATGTGTTATCCCCGGTCTGGCGATACTGGAACGCAATGTTCTTTGCGGGTAATTTAGCAGAAGCTTAATTTCGTGGCCCAGAACACCAAATTTAATTTTTAAAACGAAAACGGGTTGTGTTTAGTCACGACCTATACCACGATTGGATATGGGAACATCACCGCAAAAACGCGACTCGGAAGGCTAGCTGCTATGGTCTATGCCGTCATCGGAATTCCTCTGATGCTGATGATATTGCATAAACTCGGTAGAAGCTGTCTGAACGTCTTGGACAAGTTTTGGGACTATTGCTTACGGTAAGTGGCTTTGTTGTCATAATTTATAGTCATTAATACCGCACATCCTAAAAAAAAAATTTTTTTTTTGTGTGTTTTTTTTTTTTTTTTTTTTTTCCCCCCCCCCCTTTTTCCTTTTCAAAAATAAAAGGTTATTATTTTTTGATTTTTGGTTTTTTATTTACTTTTTTTTGGTTATTTATTCCCCTTTGCCCCCCCAAAAAAAAAAATAAAAAATATATAAAAATTATAAAAAAAAAATTTTTAAATATTTTTTAAAAATTTTTTTTCTATGTAAGTAAAAAAAAAAAAAAAAAAAAAAAAAAAAAAAAAAAAAAAAAACAAAAAAAAAATTTTCAATAAATAATTTATTTTTTTTCTAGGCTTTTTTGATCAATTTTTTTAATTTCCCTATTTCCAAAGCCAGGGAGGGAAGTAGAGGAGGCGCTTTTCAACCCTGGTTCTTCTTTGAAATTTGTCGAAAAGTGCATTTCCGGCTCCGAAACCTCTGTTTTTGGAAAAACGTAACGCCGTTCTTTTCAGGGCGTTCGACTTCATCTTCTGCACCGCCTATTCCTACCGCCAGAAAAACAGCGACCAGGATCGAATCACCGAAATGCCGTTAATTCTGGCCATTGGTGAGTATACCATAATTTGTTGCGTCAACTACTCTGGCCTTTAGGAGTCGCCTTTGGCTACATGTTCTTCTGCGCGGCCATTTTCCTCTATTTTGAAGAGGACTGGGATTACTTCAAGAGTTTTTACTTCTTTTTCTGCTCACTGACGACGATAGGCTACGGTATATCGGAAAATTTGGCGTCAGTGAGGAGATTTAGGAGACGTCACCCCGACAAATTCCGAGGACATGTTCACCATCTTCTTTTTCATCCTGATTGGACTGTCATTAGTGTCGATGTGTATCAATGTGATCCAGTTGAAGCTGGAGAAGCTGTTTGAGGAGATGCTACTCATGATGGTAGAGGAATACAGCGTTGATCCGGATGCTGGGCCGATGAGGGGAGAGCGATTGAGTAAGGTTTTACAGTTTTTGGGCCCTACATGTCTCTAGAAATTCATTGTTACATAAAATTTTGGATTTTAGGTATGCTCGATATGTGGAGATTATGGAGACGTCGCAATGAGCGTCTTCAGAAGGAGAAAAAGGAGAATAGGGCTAACTTGGCGTTGGCAAAAGCTTCCAATGCAGCGGCGACGGCGGCTCGAGATGCGGCGAATCGAGCTGGAGAGAGCCTGGCGAATGTAGGTTGTAGTCTGACTCTCTCTCCCTCTCTTTCTTTCTCGCTCTCTCTCTCTCCCTCTTCTTCAAAAAGCCTCGTTTTCCAGGTATTCCCCTTCATGCGACGACGTGAACGTCAAGTCATCATCGAACAGATCAGCCACCGACTTCGACAAGTAATATCTGACTTCTGGAGGTCATGCTCATTAATTTTAGACCGACAAGTCAACTCAAACCGATATGCCCTGGTACCTAGCTCCGGTTTTTGAGGAGCCAGCCACAGAAACTTCAAGCCTAGGCTCACCTCCGACTCCGACCTTACGGTATTTTCGTCCGCTCAAGCTTACAGGCTTCCTCAGATCCAAAGGAAACCTACTAGCGACCCGCGCCGAACCGGAAGCATTCTCGGCATTGACCTCGTTGCTGCCGTCGAGTCGAGAGGATTCGCCGGAGCCAAAGTGAGGTCCAACAAGGTTTTGAAGGGGTTTTCCATTTTAGTAGCAGTCACGAAAGCCTGGGGATACCCTCGTTGTCGGCTTCAAACTCGATTCTATCGGAGCCGATCGAGGGTGGAAACATCGGGCCCGGTGGGGTGGTTTTTCCACCGAATTTCGACCCGAATCGGCGGTGGACATTTGTGGAAACTGGGAAGGTAAGAGAGTCAGAGAGAGAGACAGCGAGAGAGAGAGAGAGAGAGAGAGCGAGAGAGAGACAAGGAGTGAGTGAGAACAAGTTCGAGCTGCACGGCTAATATTTTTACAGCTGCCTAGAGGAGCCCCTAGAGGCCTCATCGTCCCCGCTACGCTGCACTCCAGCCAGGTACGGTAATTTTTTAAACTAAAAAAAACGCGTTTTTAGCCGCAAGTCCAACAGCAACCCTCCGAGGTGCAACGCCTCATCGCAGAACTCGATGCCCGCCTCCGTTCCGCCCGCGCAATCCTCACCCCCTCCCCCTACACAACTAGCAACGATTCTTTTTTGTGAGCTTCCGGGAGCCGAGCCTCGACGACGTGAGTCTAAAAGTTCCCGGGCTACGAGATGCTCCTCTAGGCACGGCTGTCCGACATGGATCTCGTCTCCCTGGTGGCCCGGTACAATGACTCAGGACGTAAATCCCCCCGCCGTACAGTTGACCCGAATTTTGAGTGCCACATCCCAAATTGCCCCTTCCATCCGAGATACGATTAAAGGGGCAGGGAAGTGGGAAATCGTCCCTTTTGCTTGGCTGGGTCTCGACAACTGCCTAAAGGCTTGTTAGCCAAAGGAGCACTAGCACGTTTCTGTGTATTAGATGGTTGTCGGTACCTCGCCGATAGAAGGGGTCGATTCTCACGCTTCTTACAAGGGAAGTGCACGACGGCCCACGAGAAATCGACACGAGACATAGTGCATCTGATAGAATCGGACACGGGGATTCCGAATCTGTAATCAGAATTTGCTAATAAATAAAACGGAGAAAAAAGTTATGAAGCTTCAAAGTTGGTAAAATCGCCCGAAATCGGAATTTTATGAGCCTGTAAAGGCCCAATGAATCGAAATTTTCCACAACCCATTAGTGCATCTTGTTCAGCAGAAAAAGCTCTTTCGAATGAGCTATCTTACTCCAAGTTTAAGATGATTGCACGAAAATCTCTTCTATGAACTTGACAGGCCATACCCTTGCCCGTGAATCCAAAAAAAACTTTTTTCAGTGAATTGTTTGCAAATGCTACGTATTACAACTCATTCGAAAGCGCTTTTTCTGCTGAAGAAGATGCACTATTTCTTTTCTCCTCAATTCCGTTCCCCCGGTTTTTAAGGGCCCTTGAAGGTACCGTTTTTGGCGATTTGGCCAACTTTGATGCTTCATAACTTTTTTGCCCGTTCTATTTAGCAAATTCTGATTACAGTTTCGGAATCCCCGTGTCCGATTCTATCAGATCCATTATGTCTCGTGTCGATTTCTCGTGGGCCGGTTGTGCACTTCCCTTGTTAGTCCGTTTAATCGAACTCAAAAACTACAAATCCACCCCTAAACTTCAATTTATCAATTCAGTTCCTTCCCCCAAGCCGTGACAATCTCAGGTTGTATACAAAAATGTTTTGAATTTTCCATTGTTGCTATATTGATGCGATTCTACGTTTTTAAATAACTTATTTAAAGCCGTTCGGCCCGTATTTCCGTACCTTTATAAATCCGTTTAATCCTAGTGCGTTAGACCGAGTGTAGCACTGAAAAATCGCCACACAAATTTGGAAAATTCCTTATTTTCAAATAACTACCACTTTATTCGATGCACAATATTCCTCATTTCAAAGCATGTAAAATTCACGGAAAAATGAGATCAGGAGTAGCTGAATTTGCATGGGAAAAACCAAAACGCTTAAATGACATCCAGACGAGTATGAGCACGACGAATTGAGAGGCACAGGGCGTAAAAACAACAAATAGATAAATATAAACAAATTAACTTACTAAATCAAGTTTAAAATTCGGGTTCGAGCACTCGGTTTGGTCATGACTCAAAATAAATATGACATCTGCTTTCAGTAAAAAAAACATTTGGTCCGGGTCAGCCAGAAAAATTGGTCCAAAAATCGTGAAGACAAGAAAAGTGTCAGGTAGTAATGTAATGGAAAAGTTTCTAAATGATTAGGGTATTATTAAAAATATACAGTAGGCGCGCCATCTCGGTTGGATACGGTAACCGGGACCAGGTGGGCACCGCTGGTCCTGACAGGGCCCGGTGATTTTGTTTGGGTAATATTGCCAGTGACGCTAATGTCAGAGATCCGGTTGTCGATGCCTTTTTCGGGGTTGACGACGTATCTAAAGATCTATCGTTAATTTGGGACACTCAAAATCAAAAGGGACAAGACGATACGTGAAAGAGAAAAAAACTGAAAACTACGAAAAAAAGCTAATTGCATCTAAAATTTTCCCATTCTCTCGGCTACGCTACGAAACATAAACTAATTGTGTGGAATTTTACGCAGTTTTTCAATTTAAAAATCACGTAAAAATTATCGAACGTTCGAAATTCCTTGATTTTTTGTCCAAAACTGCTTGTAAATCGAGCAAAATAAGCCAAAACATTTCAAAATTTATCAGTTTTTAAGGTTTCCTTATAGTTTCATAGAAATCAAGCAAATCCTCAAACCTCAATAATGATACAGTATCTATTATCTACAGGCAGGAGTCAGCGGAAAAACAAAAATTAGCTTCCCTCCGCTAATCCGCAGGATCAATTTCATAAGAATCTGAAGAAGTAACCAAACGTTTAGCTTACTGACTTATTTTCCAACTTAAGAATCCATGATGTTTAGATAAAAGAGAGTTATCGCGAATTTCCAGAGGCCGGCAACCTACAAACTACGGTTTCAGGATCCCACTAAACCCCTAAATTCGCCAAGAAAATTTGACAGTAACACGAAACAAAACGACAGTCCAGTACACACCACACTACACGACACAACCCACAAATCAATAGAGGGGCACCGAGGCGGCCTTCGGACGGCTGTGCGTAGCGGGGAGTGTACGGTATTTTGGTCACGGTTTAGTACCTCGATCCATTCGTCGGCATCGTGCCCGTGATGATCACCCCGCTGTCCGTGGATCTGTTCAGCCAGCACATCCGGTTGCGCTTGTTGTGTCTCCACCTGAATTACCGGGTACTAATCGGTTAGTATAGGACCCAGAAAATCACATAAATTATACAGGCTATTGCAAACTACAAAAGAAAAACTGGGAACCAAACCATAGCAAATATCCCTCTTTCCTTACCCGCTGGAGTCTGAGCTAGAAAAGAGCTTTTCTTGCAGGCTGAAATTCATTTTGGGTTTGAAATTTTGTGTATTTTTATAAGGCAAAACGCCGACCAAATGCAACATTATTTTTTTGAATTTTTCTAATGCCTTATTTGTGTGATTTTATCTTTGAATTTTAAAACCTATTTTGATTTCATTTTCACACGAAAAATTCAGAAAAATTAAAAATCAAACAAAACGAAGTTTTATCGATTTTTAATTGTTTTATTTCAATTTTTAACACCAAGGTTTATTTTCAATTTCAGGCATGAAAAATTATGAAAAATTAAAAATCGAAGCAAATTTCAAAACTTTCAAAACCATTTTTCCATTTTCCAATTTTTCAAAAATCTATTTAAAGCTATTTGAATTTTTCATTAAATACACTTACACATAGGAGACTTTTTTGCACACAAACACCACCATCATCAGCAGAATCAGACAGAAGATACAGAGGACGAGGAACGTCAGGGCCGATGAGGTGGACATGACGAGTCCCGGATTCCGGAGGATCACCTGAAAGTTGGTAATTTTTGGTATGCCGACGTGTTTACGACTTTCGTGTGTCCGACACGGCCATGCTGGTCTCTGGCTAGGACAACGATTTCGCAGACGACACATTGGGGAGCGGCACCTTGTCGCATCGTGACGATACCTTCGGATGAGATGTGGAAATCCCTAAAAATGGGTGATAGATCTCTCTTTTTCTCTCCGTCGCTTTCTCTCTCTCTCTCTCTCTCTCTCTCTCTCTCTCTTTCTCTCTCGCTCTTTCTCCACCCACTTTTTCATATTCAACAACTCGTAGGACACTTGGTCGGCGTTCGTTTTTAATGGGCCGACGAGCGTGAGACCCTCCGGGGAGTCGGCCTGAAATTTGTGAATTTTGCTAAAAAATGACCTCCCTACCGTACTCTCCACTCTCTCAAACCTCGGCCCATCCGAACAGTCGGCGATAGCGTCGACAAACACGTGGACTCGGGCATGGGATTCCTAAAAAATGGAAAAATTAATGTGGTTCTCTTTGTCTCGCTCTCTCTATCTCTCTCTGTCTCTCTCTCTCGCTCTAATAATCGTTAAAATACCTCCGCTCCGTCCGTCGCCGTAATGTTATACTCGTAGAACACTTTCAGCTGAATTGGCAGCTTGCCCATGATGATATTCCCGGACGAAGGCTCGATTCTCAGCATCTGTGGCTCGATTCCGAGGATCTTGTACTTCAGCGGGTTATTCTAGCATTTCAATAAACCATCGTTTCTCGAAAAACATACCGTTTCCGAGTACGCCTTGATTCGGGCGAGTACGGTGCCCTGGGGGGTGTTGCTCGAGAGCTAAATTAGTCGTTCACCCTGGAATACCTTGAGATTCCCTACCTTCAAATTGTAGAGGTCGTTTTCGAAATGGATATTTGAACCTTGTTGGACCTTGATGATGGCGGTCGCATTTTTCTCTGGGTTTTTCTCTTCATAGGCCTGAAATGGGAGGGAATTACGGATGATACCTTGGTAATTTGAACTGGTGAAAGTATATTTTGCATACTTGAGATGCGAATGTCCTCAAAAAACCCTCTGTTAAAGTAATGCTTAAGAAAAGCTTAAGTAATGCTTTATTTAACTGTCACAGTCCCTTGAAAATGCAAAACTGTTTGAAGCTATTGTAATTACATTGTTTTTTGATCTATGCTTTGCAAAAGTTTTCAGGAATATACTAAAAACGCTGTTTAAGGACTTTTAAACGTTCCCTCCCTACCAACGCTCAATTTTTGGCGCCTCCCTGTCGCGGCATCATGTTTGCAGCCGGGTGCCAGAAGGCCGTCACCCAAATTTGCATCTCGAGACGATCCCGCCACCCCCCCTACCCGGCAAAATGAGCCTGCTACCCCACACCCATTGTGACAGACGCCCTTTCGGTTCTTTTTGGGTGGCTAATTGGGCGGCTCCCCATCCGGGATGCCGGCCATAATTTGCATTTATTAACCGGGATGGGTGACAACTAGTCGGAAAATATTGAAGGCGAGAAATTAAAATAGCTAGGAACGTACATGAACAAAGAAGACGGCAAATGGAGGCGGCGGATTGCTGCGTACACGGATTTGGCCGTCTTGATTGATGGCAAAGTGGGAGCTGAGTTCTGGAAATAAAATCTTTTGTTGCCTACTCTCTCTCTCTCTCTTTGCCTTCACGCACCCTGTCACTCGCTTTCTCTTTCCTCTTACTCTTTCTCTCACTCGAAATCTGTATTTTCGATCCTTTAAAAGTTATCTCTGTATCCCGCTCACTCTCCCGCTCTCCCGCTCTCTCTCTCTCTCTCTCTCTCTCTCTCTCTCTCTTTCTTTCTTTCTCGCTCTCTCTCTCCCTCGATCTCTCTCTCGATCTTTATCGTTTTTTAACTGATAATGTTCCCCTTTACAACAAATTTCTCTGCGTTAAAAACCGTGACCCCTTGACCTCTTCCCCCATCCGCCTCATTCCCTCCCTAACAAGCCAGAGTCAATTGTTTTCTCTTCTCCCCCTCTACGAGGCTATGTTTGGGCTCTCAACCCCGATGAGGTGGGAACATGTCCCCCATACTCGGTTTTTCACCCCACATTTTCGTACAAAAGAAATGACCCCCCGTGTCGTGTTGCATTGGTGCGTGGGATGGAATCGAGGAAAAGCGTACGAAAGTGATGGTTAAGCGCGTCAAATCAGGGTGATCTTTGACAACTTACCTCCGGAGAGACTGTAGCGGATGTTGGCGTTTAGGGCGTCACCGTCGACGGCGCGGATTGGGGATGGGTCGATGACGAGCAGGCCGTCCTGGAAAGGATTCAGTACCGAATAGGTGGAAAATTATAACACAAAATTAGTTTTTAATTGACGTGTAGCGTAACGGGATCAGATATTTGGATCAAAGTCTTTATGAATGTGAAAAATATTTTATCTGCCTAAACAACCGAAAATTCCGAAGCATTTACGCTCCTGGTGTTCCACGTAGGATACCTATGTTTCGAGCAGCGCAGCGACGCGTAGTTTGGCAATTTTTGACGGTTTCGCTCCATAATTGTGAATCCTGAGCCCTAGATAAACGGTGGAATACCGGTGGAATACGTAACTTAATGTAAAGTATCGTATCGATTGCCGCCGTAAGATATCCCTTGTTTTTAACTAATCTGGGTTTTATTCGATGTAAGGCTGTCAGATCCGCCCCCCGAATTCCAAATTTTGGCCCCCTCGCTTGTCTTTAGGGTTTTGGCTAACGGTGCGAGAGAGCCAGAGGTCTCCTCCCGAGGTTTGCTTGAGGGTGTTCGAAGCATGATTGGTCAAGTGGGCTACAGGGGTGGGCCTTGTCTCCCCACCACATCTTCTTCTCCTTGTGCAAAAGGTCTCAGCTTTCGGTCCTCCACTGGCTGGTCGTCCTGTTTGTCCCGAGGCGCCTTTCGGATGGCTGAATAGGGGTCCACTAGCGCCCCGGAACCCATAGATTGAATATCAAACTTGGCACACCTCCACAAGAGGGTGAGCTTCGGCCTGGGGGATTTGCAGTAACAAGAAGAAATTTTTGGAAGGTGACTAGTGTAGTGGAGCGGAGTGTACTTAAATGGACGGGAAAGAAATAATTTTGGTTTTTTTTCTTCTACCGGACACACTTCTTCGTTCCATAACGTAATCGATTGCGATGTGTTTCTGCGAGCAAGATAGTTTAGCGCGGGTACAACGAAATTGTTAAGAAATCCATGGCAAAACAACAAGAGCCGGATGTTTCCAAAACCTTTAAAAAGATCTTTCTATTGAAGGAAAAGCCGATTTGTAGTTTGAAGCCCTGTGCATCCTTTTTTAAGGGAATAGAGAAAGCAAGGAGATTGTGAGCAGCAGCAGAATGTATCAGTTTTTGCAAATTTCAGGTCGAGCAAAGGTTCTTTGGAAAAACGGCTCAAAATTTTATTAGTTCACCTTCATCCTCCTTGACACGTAATAGTCGCGCTCAAACCGAGGATTCAAATCGTTCTGGTCCTACAAAATTTGGAGTTTGAGATATCAGAAGTTAATTTACCTCAACAGTGACGTGAAGTGGTACCACAGAAGCCCTGCTCGGATTTCCCTGATCACGAGCTTCAATTTGGACGGCGAAGCTCTTCACCTTTTCATAGTCGATACGATTCTGAAATAGGGTTATAGAATTTTTTAATGCATATTAAGACACAACTAAATAAGGTTATTTAAAGCTAAAGAATTTTAAAATTTGGGTTGCAAAGATTTAACGAATTTTTCTCTAAATCTGATTTTTGGCATATTACTTACCTTGACCGTGATCACTGGCTTGAACGGATCCTCGATATCCAAAAGGTGTGAATATTCCGATGGTAGAATGGAGTACTGTAGGAAGGAATTTGGGCCCGGTTGATCATTGTCGGTCGCCGAGATCCCGGTGAAGACAATTGTTCCAATCGGCAGCTCCTCGCTGACATTTATATGGTACTCTTTTTCGTCAAATTCTGGGGCGTTGTCGTTGACGTCTTTGACGGTGATGAAGACGGTGATGTTTAGCTGGAATACACATTAATTATTGGATAAAATGTAAAAATATAATTGGAGTACGTGTTTTTATATTTTTTATGGTACCTGATCGAAATCTGAGGCAGAGTCGACGGTGGATTTGCACTCGACGACGGCTTCGATTTTGGAGTTGCCCTGAATTTTGGGATTAGATATGATTTTCTTCTCTTTCACTGGATTAACTAATTTAAAGGGACGCGTAAGGCATTATCATGGATTTTTTGGACGCATGCCACGCTTGGTCGTATCGCAGGGCCTCTTGAACCCCGTTTTTAGGGATTTTTTCACGTCTTCGACAAACTTCCCTATTTGGTTTCCAATCCGAAAAAACTTTTGTTTTCCTTCAATCCGATCCCCTTTATTCAAAGTCACCCCCTCTAGCAAACACAATTTCAATGCGAGCATTGGTGCGCAATGAAATGCTTGCGCAATCCGGAGGGGACGCAGCGACAAAAGGGTGCCTGCCTCTCGGGTCCCGCGTGGAACCAATTTTGCGGAGAGCCCCCAGGGCACTGAAACCATGGTCCGAACCCCGACATTGGCTCGTTACCCCGATTACCAGATTTGCGATAAATGAATGAAACTGGTGCCGGCTCGCGTGGGTAGTTCGGGGTGTTATGGTGGTACTTTACGATACCTATGCCAGTGATCGAAATGCCGACAGCCATAATCCCGACAGGTCGAAATTCCGACAGTTGAAACTCGGAAATGCAAAATGTCCCCGAAATTCTTTCGAAATTCGAAATTCAAATTAGCACCCCGAATGTCGGCATTTTGGTTGCCGCTATCGCTCGAATTCACCTTGATAAAAGCATACAGACTTAACAAAAAAGGGCTGAATCCGCAAGGGTCTTTGCTAGTTTGCTCAGAATTTTTGTTGCTTTTGCTTATCAATTCCGATTTTTACCTTAGAAGTTCCTGGTGAAATTCCATAAATTAAAAAATTACACAATACTTTAATCATGTAAAATTCCTCAAGGTTCTCTGCTAGCCCCCGGCTTTCTAACCTGACTTTTACGTTTTAGAAGACTTGGCTTCAAGTCTCCCCTTCCACCAAACTTTCTACCAAACCGGCCAAGCGAGCCAAAACCTGGGCACCCCAGTGGTGCCTACCCTCTCAAGATGTGGTGGAGGGGATGGACATTCGGTCTCTCTTTCACCCTCTCTCTATCTCTCCCCTCCCCCTCGCTCTCTCTCTCACCCTCATCATACCAAACATCCAGGCCTCCTGTGGCTAGAAGACACAAACAAATCCACTGCCCCCCATGGGCCCCCAGATTTCCCGCCAGCCAGCCAAAGGCTCTGTCCGGACACAGGACCACGGATCGGGCGCGGATCGAGAGCCGTATCCGTATTTCCGGCCCGTCACACTGGGTGGACACACACCGCGCGCCCCGGGACCCCAAACGTGTCCCTAGTAGGGCGGTGGAATTTGATGAGAAGCCAGATGGATGTATACGCAATGTGAACGTGGTTTTTCGAAGAGCGAGAGAGAGAGAGAGAGAGAGAGAGAGAGAGAGAGAGAGAAAGGAAGAAAAAGAGAGGGGGAGCGAGACAATCGAGAGACAGACGGAGAGAAAGAGAGAGAGACGAGAGAAGACGAGAGCGAGCGGCTTACAACGGCTTACAACTAATTACAGCTTGCCCTGAACGCTCCTAAAGAATCGCTGCTAGCCTTTCCAGTGTCTCGCTTTTCTAGGTGAAGACTTTTTATGCTTTCGGTATTTTTTAAATTAAATTCTGAAGTAACGGACCGCCTTGTGCTCAAATGTCTTATTCTACTACCCCTATTAGGTCCCGCCAAGATCCTAGGACGATGACCAACAAGCCCGTCATGTTTTATGGATGTCCACCAGCCTAAATCGGCTAACCTCAAACGATCAATGACTAATCCCCCATTTCCTGGGCTGCCCCAGCTGGAACCTTGGCTGTTTTACCGGCTCTCAGGGCGAGTAATTTATGGTCTTTTTTAGCGAGGTCCGATAGGCGGAATAGGTTGGGTTTGGTTGATATCGAAATTGCGGTCAAGGTCGGTTCATAAAATTTTAGCATTTTTTTTTTTGTTTAACAGCGTACAGCTTCGCCAATTAAGGTATCCGGAATATCCTTTGACTTCACAGCCCACTTAACCCCTAGAATTCGAATTTCCAAGTTCATCCCTAAGTTAGCCGATTCCGCAGCCCGCAAAATGCCGACCTTGTCTCTGTGTTAAGGGAATTCAGCCAGAAATAATGGACAGATGGCCCAAAAAGGCACTGCAGGCGGGGGCGTCTTTTAGGGGTCTGCTGTTTCGTTGAAGGTCAATGGAGATGAGGAGCGGTGTTTTTTGCAATGTAAAGAAGTTAAAAGGAGCTAGAAGTTCGCGGCATAAACCTATCGAGTTTTTAACAACCAAGCGTTCAAAATTGGCGTTGAAGCGGCCGTGAAGTGAAAAAAATTCCAGTTTGGTAGAATTCAAGGACCAGGAAAAATAGACATTTTTTAGCTCTTAATCCGGTCCAGCTGATTCAATTTGTTTTTACTCAATATTTTTCTGCTCTTGTTTCCATAACTCCCTTAAAAGTGTGTTTTTACCTCATCCCGATCCAACGGGCTCTTCAACGTTAGCTGATTACTCCCAGGGTTGATATCGACAAAATCCGATCCCTTGACAACTTTCAGCTCGATCCCTCCATCTGTTTTAAAATCTTCTACGGGGATGCTGCCGACGATTTCTCCTGCAAAAGTTTGTTCTTGCGAAGTATCGCCAAATTTTGAACCCTGTTGCTCGTCAATTCTGCTGCGTTCCTTGGTGCGGAAATTAAGTTGGGCCGTAGGGGTTTTTGAGGAGTTGAAGCGATAGGCAGAGAGAGAAATAGAGAGAGAGAGAGAGAGAGAGAGAGAGAGAGAGAGAAAGCGAGAGGGAGAAATAGAGAGAGATAGAGAGAGAAGTACCTTTTCCTAGTTCCCAATGCTCCCAAATAATTCCCGCTGGCCTGCCTCAACCGTAAAGCAGACCCTCCTATTTTTCACACCTCTTATACCCTATTTACTGCTTTCCAAAGCAAATGGTGTCGCCCATATTGGGGGTTTGCAGGGGGAGAAGCTGTCATAATGACAGCCCTTCCCCCGGCGGGGGTATTCATTGGGTTCGCGGCGGGACCCATCTGAGGACACCAATCCGCTATGGCCCTTATGGGGAGAACCGTTCTGTTGAGAGAGAGAGAGAGAGAGAGAGAGAAAGAGACATGGAGAGTAAATAAATATGCCCCTTCTTATGCCCCCGCTATGGGCTTATCCCCAGCACTGCCCATCCTATAATAAGCCTTGCAACCGAGTCGGTAGGCTGAAAAGGTGTTCGGGTTCGCGGATTAGTGGCGGTAAGCTAAACAAGGAGGGGATTATATTCATTAAAGGGCCTGAGAGGCGGGAAAGTCAACACCTGTTGTTGCCCGGGACTCGGCAGCTACTCATAAACTCCCAAAAACACGTAAATTAAGCGGAGCTCGTAGTTGTTGGCGCCCCGCTTGGTATCTGGTTTATCGTTTGATGCTTTCCCAACGCTTAAAGATGTTCAAAACTCAGAAATGTTCGAATCGAGACGGAAATTTTGACTTCCCAGGCCCATTAAGCCGGCAAATACTTTTTCAATGGCCGATTCAGACGCTGTGGTAGGTGCTTAGAAAAACCTATTTGGCTTATCCAACGGAACTACTGGGTTTTGGAAGCCACTTTCACATCTCCCATTCCATTCCACGCCCAATGGCTACCTCGAACTTCGACGTGGATTTACCCTCCGAGGGTTCAAAAGGGCAAATTTCGATGGATACTACGCGCGCCGTAGTGGGCACGCCCAATTAGTAGCAAGACGAATCTCGGGGTATAATTAGCTTTGTCGGCTTGGTTCAGCCGGGGTGGAGAAGCTTCTGGTGGTCATCGGGCACCATTATTGGTACTTCGTGGTAGACCGAGAGAGAGAGAGAGAGAGAGAGAGAGAGAGAGAGAGAGAGAGTGAGACAGAGAGAGCGGAAATGCCAAGGGTCAGAGGGCAATCCATGGAAAATCTCGGGGAATTTAAGCACTTAAAGGGAACTGGAAGACAAAATCCTGAGAGTTCAGTTATCTTTGGAAAAACTAGACGTTTATATACCATATCCTATGTTACTTTTCGTTCCACCAGACTACAAATTCGAGTCGATGCACGTTCTACCCAGAACAAAATTGGCCTCCATCAAGTTCCTTGTCCTCAACAAGGCCAGCCAACGGAATTCAGGCGCGTTCCATCCCCTGCCCTGCAACTTTTGGATGTGTCTTTGTGTTCCGTTCCTTGCCCCTGTCCCTTTCCACCGTCCAATGGATTACTGCGTAGGGGGACGCTGGTTATCCACCCAAACAAAGGCCATGCTCGCCCCGGAATCTCATGCCGCACCATGGCAAACCCGTTCCATCGCCTTTCACCCTGTTATGCTTTCGCTATGTTACTATTGACGGGTGATCGGATGGTATTGGAAAATTGGAGGTGTGAAAAGGGGGCAAGACGATGCCTAAAAAAACAGAACGAATCACCCCAAAGTCATTTAGGGTATACAAGCGAGTGAGAGAGAACGAGAGAACGAGAGGGACAGATAGAGCTAGAAAAAGAGAGAAAGTTAGAAAAGCGGAAAGACAGGCATTAAGAGCGAGCTAGAGACGACCGGAGAACGGAAAGCTACATAGAGAATGAACAAATGAGAAAGGGACATTGAGAGACAGAGAGCGAGAGCCAGATAGACAGAGAGAGCGAGTGAGAGAGAGAAACCATATGGAGAGAGGGACATCAGCTCATAAACTCATGCTCACCTGGTCTCAAATCTTCAAAAACGGATAGATAAACGGAAGATCGGCCATTCTCCAGAAGACACGACCCCGCGACGACGCTCACTAACCACGTTTGAAATAGCCAGCGGGCCGTCATCCCATCCCGCATCGCGAACCGCCCCGGATAGAATTTGGCGAAAGGGGGATTCCCGAAAAAAATCTGAAACACAACGAAGAAAATAGGAAAGCGGAGGCTGAATCGTCGACAATAAAAATAGATCAAATCTTTATACAATTGAAGTTGTGAGAATCGAAAATTCTCAGAAGCGCCTAATTGACAACACGGAAAAACAAGCGTTTCAGTTTCTTGCCCTTTCGAAACGCGACGGCCGAAAACTTACTATGGAGCAGAAAGTGACATTCGTGACATGGGGGAAGGGCGGAAATTAAACGTGTTCTGGGTGGGCAGAAGCCAAACGCAACCACAAGAAAGTCAACAATTTTTAGATTAGGTGGGGTCGGTTTTTAGAATGGCAGAGAAAAGAGAGAGAGAAAGAGAGAGAGAGTGAGAGAGAGAGAGAGATAAAGTTCTAATAAAGTATTTCTTGGTATTCGACAAGTATCACTGCTCGCCTACCCTAGAAATTTCAATGAGTTGTAATAGTTCTCCTTTACGTGCCAAGTAATAGTCTTAGACTGTGCGAGAAGCGAGGCTCACAGATACTGAGTGAGAGAGAGAGAGAGAGCGAGATAGAGAGAGAGGGATAGCGAGATAGAGAGAGAGCGCGCGGGAAATACAGAGAGAGCTATAGATGAATATTCACCAAGAATCTCCGCTAGGTTGCTCTTGAAATCATTAAATATTGGAAATAGTTGCCTCTAAAAAATCTAGTAATTTTTTTAGGTAGTATTGGGGAGAGAATAAACTTAAGGACGCCTTATTTTGTCTAAAAACCATAAAGCCGAATCCATATATCCCAAATCCAAATCGGGAAAATCCGTGTCCGTAAAGGGGGTGGGGCCGTCGCCGTGATGGTTTCGAAGGGGTGGAGGAGGTCTTGGCCAACATGGGTGGGGAGGGAACTCGAGAAGCCCGCTTTCTAAAGGGACGGACTAGCCAACAGGAAAGGAGGAGAAGAAGAAGACATGCCCCGCCCACAAACACACCCCCACCACCTCTACCAACACCGGCTGAACCAGAGTCCCCCTATTATGGGGTTGGCTGGGATAACGGGATTAGAAATCGGTAATGAGCCTTAAATCGTTTCGAAAGCTAATAGGGATTTGGAAATCTGCTCAAAACGACGGCAAAAAAAATATTTTTTTGCGCTTGCAAGAACCTTTAGAAAGTCAAAGCTGGGTAACACACGAAAAATCCCGCTTTTCGGGGTGGTTGGACAAGGTTGCTAGTCAGAAAATCGGCACCTATCTGTGACCTCTGCCTAATGGCAAGCTTGGAAGTACATAGGCAAGTTTTTGAATGCCTTAAAAAGCGAAACTCTACCAACAAGCATTTACGTACATTTTCGAATGACTTTTCCGGGTTCCACGTTTCCTTAAAGTGTCGAAAAAGGAGTACTACTGCCCAAAAAATAATCGGAAACTAAATTCTGGCGGTTCGGAATTTGCTTCGTCCGCCGAAGAATCCGGGTACGGGAATTCGATGCTCTAAAATTCAGCCGCAAGCCCCGCTTTTCCGCATCACCGCCAACGGGCATGAATCCGCGATGCGATTTTTCGGGATCGGCGAGAAATTTTGGATTGACGAGATTTAATGTAAGTTTTGGATCATATGCCGCCATGCCCCCACACATAATCGTTTACAGTACCCCTCAATACGGTGACATCTTTTGAATGTTTTATTGTGCCCCCTCTTCACCGTTTATTACAGCTCGATCCAGACCTTTTTTCATTTCCAAATGGTGATTGCGGGGCACCGGGTGGCCTGAAAATAAACAAATGGCGGCGGGCAAAAACTCGTTCGAATCAACGCCCCAGGACGTTTGACCTTATGGGTGACCAGGGCTTCCGATAACTCGCAGTGCTTGATAAGAATGGGTGCTTATTTATGGTTGGAAACGTTGCTAGCCGTAACATCGCCATTTTCTATGTAATGTCTGCAAAGACTTGACTCACGATTTATGTCATGACATTGCTGCCATTCAACGGGCAATTGTTAAAATTCGTGACGTTAGGCTCGTTTTACCATTTTTGCATTAGCAAGGCTTAGAAAAATAATATTTTTTATTTTCGCTTGCTCTCTCTCCCTCGCTCTCTCTCTTTTCCTCTCTCTCTCTCACTTTCCCGCTCTCTCTCCCTCTCTATCGCATTCTCTCTGACTCTCTCTCCCGCTCTCCCTCACTCTCTCGCTTCCGCTCTCTCTCGCTTTATCTCTCACTCTCTCCCGCTCTCTCTCACGCTCTCTTCCGCTCTCTCTCACTCTCTCTCTCTCTCGCTCTCTCTCTCTCTCCCTCTAGCCGAGCAATTCAATTTCTAGAATGAGAATCGCTTGCGTATTTTCAATCACACTACTCCAATTTGCATATTGCGCCTGGCCAGACCCCCAAATTCGCACAAAAGGCAGGGTTTGGCCCCAGCCACAACTTGTTGAATATGGTAATTGCCTTAATAATTCGTAAAATTTGTTTTTAGAGCCGGAGATCTTCACTGTATCCCCCAAGTTAAAAATTATCAAAAACACGGAATGTGATATCATTGAAAAGGCCTTGAAACGCTATATCAAGATCCTGAATTTGCATAAGCCCAGTATACGGGTCAAGAAGGTAGCGTAAATTTCGGGATGAGGTATGTAGAATCCCGATTTAGACAATGAAGGAGGATTCGTCTGAGATTACGTCGTTGAACGTGTTGGTGTCAAAGGGATTTTTGTCCAGAACATCCGGTTTTGGGCATGGACGAGAGCTATGTATTGCGAGCTAATCAGAGTGAAGTTATCATCGAAGCCGACGAGGTATAATAACTTAAAGGGGCAGAGACACCTCATGAAATCCAGAAAATCTTATTGAATGATTTCTACCTCTAGAGGCTCAAGGACAGCCCTGTTTTTTTAGGTCTGGGGAGCTCTCCGGGGACTCGAAACCTTTTCTCAATTATTCTACTACAACGGTACAAGGCAATATTTCCAGTCGGCGTACGTTAAGGATTCGCCAAGGTATGCAAAGTCCCTTAATTACCTTCCAAATACATTTAAAAGTAGCAAATTCCAGATTCCCGCATCGTGGCCTACTCCTCGATACCTCACGCCATTACTTTTCCCTAAAAGTCATCAAGGCCATTATCGAGCTGATGGCGATGAACAAGATGAATGTTTTCCATTGGCATATGGTGGACGGGGAGGCTTTTCCTTATGCGTCTGAGGTAGATGCACGAGGATTTCGTCAAGCTCAAGTCATCGTCGCTTTTAGGTTTATCCAGAATTCACCAAAGGAGCATATGACGAGAATCACATTTACAGGATCTCCGATATCAAGGTATAATTATCATTAAAACAGTCAAAGGTAAGGTGCTTCTAGGAAATCATCGATTTTGCACGTCTTCGAGGTGTCCGGGTAATGCCCGAAATCGATACCCCAGGCCATGTGGCGTCATGGGGTTTTGGGATGGAATTTATGACGTCGAAGTAAGTTTTTTGACGCTCGGAAATTAAATATAGACATTACATGAAAATATATAATATTTATTAAATATATATATATATATATATATATATATATATATATATATATATATATATATATATATATATATATATATATATATATATATATATATATATATATATATATATATATATATATATATATATATATATATATACAATATATATTAAATATGAAACTTATGTAGATTATAAGAGAAAAACTCAGGAACATTTTCAGATGTTTTGACAAAAAGGAGTGGAAATGGGGAAGAGAGACCGAGGGATGCTCGACGTCTCGAATAAGAAAATGTGGGATGCGCTGATTGCGCTTTTTAAGGTATACAACTAACATTTCCTATTAAATGAACTTAGTGCATGACTTTTAGGAGTTAATGACCGTATACCCAGATCAATATTTCCATCTCGGTGGTGATGAGACCACATTTTGGATGGATACCTGCTGGGAGAACAACGCGAAAATCAAGGAGTTCATGGGCGTAAGATAAAAATTTTTAAGCTTTTTTTTACTGGCACTATCCCTTTAAGTCAATATTTTAGTACTGGGGCCTCAATTCCACCACGCAACTCGAACAATGGTATTTTGATCAGCTGTTCATGCACCTTGGGCTGCGGGATATGCCAAAGAAGAAGTTTATCGTTTGGCAGGTATGTAATTTTAATTTTTATTTAGATTTAAAAACGTTATAACCTTATAATAATTAATTTAGGAGGTTGTCGATATGGGCATCAAGTTACCTGACGGAATTATCGCTCATATTTGGACCGGAAACCGCTCCGAACAGCTTGCTGACGTCACGAAAAAGGGGCATATGGCGCTGCTTTCGGAGTGTTGGTAAGTGGATTGTACTACGCCGTTTTAAGTTATGTCACAAAAATTATAATTTTTATTGCTTTATCAATAACATTTAAACTGCATTTTTAAGGCGCTTGCCAGTACTTTTTGAGCGTGAAACGATTTGTAAAATCTGTTTAGGAGGATCATTACAATTTTAAAGTCGAGACTATTTACATGGAATTACATTATTAAAATAGCATAGCAATATAGTTACTTATCGTGATTACTTAAATCTTCGCATCCATAAATTTTAACGGCACATCGCCCATCGTCATCGGGATCATGTCGAGCAGGTTTTGCCGCCGGATTGGTGGGGGTAGATTGTTGCAAAACACCTAGAAACGTAGGCTTTCGACGGTTTTGTTAAGATTCCGATAGTTTGTCGTCTGTGGCATTGTCTGTAGTTTAGCCTTTCAACTTACTTTATGCGCGCGAATTATCAAAAAAGTCCCATGAATCGCCAACATCTCGTCGGTGTAGCCGCGGAGTTGGCCGCGAAGTTGGTGGCCTCGCTAAATATAGTTAATTTTAAAGTTAGAGAAATTTAAAGTATGTATAGGTATCATATATAACAAAGCTTAACACCATTTAAATTTTTAAGTAAAATTAACATAATGCATGGTCTAGCCATTAGTATAATCTCGTAATCCCTGAGCCTACCACATCATTTGTCAAATTTTTCACATTAAACGCGGTGATCATGGCCTCTTCACGGAGATGGGAGATGTTTTCTGGGGCCTCGTTAAATACCTAAACTTCAGATTACTTTGCGTTTTCAGGCATGTACAGGGTGTCCCAAACCCCCCTCTAGCGGTCCGTGGGAAACTCAGATCAGGATGATTTTTATACCATTCGAAAGCCCGCGAAAAGGCGAGAAAACACGCGGGCTTCATTTTCTAAGATTTATTCTGATTCGTCCGATATTCAGCGTTTCTCTAAAAAACAGGTAGCTTTTCAATAAGAATTTCGCAATCAGCATGCGGATCTCGCGTAAATCTGCCGTTTTCATGGATGTGGAGGTAAAATTCGCCAATAAAATACATAATAAAGAAAATGAACTCTCCATGTTTTCTCGCCTTTTCGAGAGCTTTCGATAGATACCTAAACGGCGAGAATCGGACACGTCTGGGCGCCGCTGGAGGGGGTTGGGACACCCTGTATTCTCCTCAAAAATTATAGCATTGGATTATGCCATCTTAGAGCAATTTTCGGTTTTCTATTCCCCTTAAAGTTATTAAATACCTACCCTCAACACATACACCGCACCCTTGTTGTCCCAAATGTTGTTGATGTGCCATAGCTTGGAGGCGTTGCTCTAGAAGGGTTCTTGAGTATTGAAAATCTAGATATTTTACCAATTTCCCGTCTGTAACATTTTTCGGTCCATCAAAGTGGACGGCATCTCGTAGGTGTTGAATTGCTCGATTATCAGTGCCTTTTCCCACGTAGAAAACGGCATTCACGAATTCTTCGAGGCTGATCTTAATTTAGGCATTACTTCGGCTATTTTCAATTCTTAAGGGGTCTATGCTAGTTGCCCGCATTTTTTTGTAACCTGCTGAAAAAGGGGCCGATCCAAAAATATCCAAGCTGTCTCTGCTAGCCAACCTCATGCATTTCAAAATCTGGATCAAAGGTGCGTAGTTTTTCACGTGTTAAATCCGCACTTATCCGTGATATTCGATTTTTCAAATTGTTTCTGTGGTAGGACTTTACTTTACCCCCACGTCCCCCCCCCCTCACAGCCGAAGGTCTCAAAGTTTTCGGTATTTTCGCTTAATATGTCGTGATTCTTGCAACGCTATTCGACGATAGAACATCGAAAAATATACTAGGAGTTTTAATTTGAGACTATAATCATGTAAAATAAAAAAGTTATCGCCAAAAACTTCCGGCGGGAGGGGGGGGGGGTAAAGTGAAGTGTAGCCATTTCTGCGAACCTGCCTCAAAAATGTCTAAATGTTATCGAGAATTATAATTCTTCGCTTGTTCCCTTTTTTTCCTTTCCATACCTCAGAAATAGTTTGATTCTTCGGCAATTCAGTGGAATCGACTAGGATATAATTGTAGAACCGGATACAACCTCCCGCCTTCATCACCGACCGGAAGTACTTGTCATCTATCTAAATTTACGTAAATTTAAGGTAAACTTTGAAGGTTCTACCTTTTCTCCTTGATCCTCGATGAACCGATTTCCCTGAATGAATTCTTCTAGTGATTTTGAGTATTTTTCGCCGACGAGCAGCTCGCGGAGCCGGATTTTCCACAGCTTCTTTTGGGTGTCTTTGTTTTGAAGCCGTCGACCCCAGGTTTTTGGCTCCAGACCAAGTTCCTCAATGACAGCTGAAAATGGTGGTATACTATAATTTCTACATTTTATACATTAAATCCATTATTTTTAAGCTTACTTCGCAATTTTGTCGGGTCGTTTTGCTTGAGGCCCTCAAGCCATAGCAAAGTTTCTTTCGCCTCGACGTCGGTGAACTAAAAAAATTGATAAAAACTTTTGTATATTTTTCTTATGATGTCCAGGTGGTGCTGAACCCTTAATTGCAATATTCCATTAAAGCTAGGCTGGTTACGCGGGAAAAAGAAAAATAAATCTATAAGTTTCACTTACCGCCGGCCTGTTCGAATATCTGTGCACCCGGCGTTCGTTGAATTTTTCGACTGTATCAGGCTGATTTTCCTGTTCCGGGAGCACTTCCGGAATAACGGAAAATTCCGGGGTAACGGGCGGGGTATCGTGCCATTGGATTGAAGTCTTAGCCGGGGCCGGTGTTTTCATAGTCTCGGATGTTTTTGTGGTGTGCCCAAAAACCGGTGTCGACTGGAAGCTCCAATCGCATGCTGATTGTCGGGTTAGGGATCTAAAAATCTTAGTAAAAAGTTAGCTAGAATGACCTCAAATGACCTTTGCTAGTTTGCCCCTCTTACTCACCTCGATCCCTTGTCCGATTTCGGGGTTGAACTGGCGAGCGGTAGCCCGATTCTGCTACCTTTAGTGCTATTGAGAAGGGAGCTGTTCGGCTCGGGGGTCATGTTGAACACGGAGTTTTCTAAGACAAAAATTGTTGCAGGTGTTCAGATGTAATTTGTAGTTCTTTATAGTATAGTAAAATTACCAGGTTGTGGTCGCAAGGCAGAAGCCGATTTCGTCCTCGGCATTTTTGAAGTTTGCTGATTCACCGGAATTCTTGTAGCCGCAAGTTTCGGGGTGGCTGAAAAAGCAATTTCTAGATGCGATTTAGCTGTTTAAAGTCTTATTAAAGCTGACTTACCTTGAAATGCTGTAGAAAGGACAGAAGCATTAATTGGTAGAGACCTCCTAGGAGTCTTGTTCGGTTTTTCAGTTTCAATAGCTTGAGGTGAAGCCCTTTTCATGCGAATCGTCAGATCCGCGGCAGAAACGGTGCGTCTAGTCAGGCTTCGGGTTGAATCTAACCCTTCAAATTTACCATATTTGAGCTTTTATCCTTACCGTCTGATAGTCGAGAAGTAGAGGTTTCAGAATGCTGGGTTCGATTAGCATTTTCCGTTGATTGACCGCCCAGTAGCGTATCTAAAAACCCGTAGATTAAAATTGTAACTTTTGCAATTTTAGTATGATAGTTTACATTGATTTTAATGCTGCTTAAAAGTAGGACCTGAGCTTAATGAACTGACCGGTCAATGCCTTAAAATAGGTGGTGAACATCGCCTAACGAATAGAATAAATTAAGAATAAGGGGAAGGGGGTTGAGCCGACCAAAATGGAAGTGCCAAACCGGGGCGGTGAAACTTTCATGTCCGATATCGTAAAACAAAAAATGCCCTGTGGGCATGAATTATCATAATAGGCCAGATGTACACCATAAATAGGCACTATGGGCCGGAAAATATCGTTCATGCACCTATGGTACGATTTTCCCTCCTAGTCCTGATCGGATGCAAATAAGCGATGTATTAATGAGAGTGAGATAGATGAGAGAGAGAGAGAAAAAAAAAAAAGAGAGAGGGAGAGAGACATTTAAAAATTTTAAAAATTTTTGTGTTTTTTTTTCGAAAACAACATTCCGTTTTATAAAAAAAATAATAAAAAGTTGTCGGGCTATCCCAAAAAAATAAAAAATAGAGAGGGAGAAGAGAAAAAGAAAAAAAAGGAAAAAAAAAGAGAGGGAGAGAGGAGGAGAAATTTTTTACTCAAAAATAAGCGCAAACCTTTAGGTATCTTGACCATATCTCCTGGAACATCGACTACCAGGATTATTACAAGTGTGATCCTCATGTAAGTGAATGAAATTAATTCAACAAAATTTCGAATTTCCATTAGCTTTTTTCGCTTTCAGGATTTCGACGGATCGGATGCGCAAAAACGGATGGTTATGGGTGGAGAGGCTGCTATGTGGGGCGAGATGGTAGATGCTACTAATGTTATACAAAGGTAATACCAGGACCATCCTCTAATATTAACCAAAAAAAAATTTTTATTTTGGCCATTTTCTCTTTACAGAATTTTCCCACGCACTTCCGCGGTAGCGGAGAAGCTGTGGAGCAGTGCGAAATTCACGAAAGCCGACGTAAGCCGAATTTACATCTATAGCAACGCGTTATGAAAATATAACTTTAGCCCGCTACCGTATGGCCCCGCCTCCAAGAAATGCAATGCCGTATGGTGCGACGGGGTTTCCCGGCCCAACCTGGCTACGGTCCCGGATTTTGCGAGGTGGAGTACGAGCCGAATTTGCCGGATTTTGATAACTGAGCCTGATCGTACTATCCACCCTTCGTACTTTATTTATCATCAATCCTTTCAGCTTAATAAATATTTACTCGTCACAACTTATCAAGCATATCACAACCAAACAACTGAATCGTCAATATTTCAAAATATAAGTGAATTCTGCGTAGTAAGACTTTAAAAATGAGGGGACTAGGGAAATGAAGTGTTTACCTTGAGATACAATTCTTAAAGGCTTTTGAAAACTGGCAATGAGTGGTGCATTATAGACCAAATCAATTGGAGTCCGGGAAAATCGGAATTAGCAAAGCTATGCTTACAACAAAAGTTTAATTAAGATATTTATCCTTTACAGGGAGAGATCGAGGTAGCCAACAAAAAAAGAATAATCATGCAATCTAGAGCTCAATCTTCTTCTTAGGAGCGTATTCGTCATGTTTTGGCATATGGCCAAAAAATGTGGTCGGTCGGGGTTGAGCGTAGGAGAATTGACGATGTCGGGTGACAATGGCTAGAAAAAACAATTGTATTAAAAAACCAAGTTTTTTCCGAATTTACGATACTAAGAAGGCAATTTATAAAATTTTCTAGAACCGACATGTAAAAGTGGAGATGCAGTTGCCAATGAAATGATCGGACTCTTGCAGGATGGCCAGGGCGACGTGTGGATTTTCTTCCTTGAGGGTATAGACTTTGATCTGGAGATGAACATAGGGATGAGATACCAGAAAAAGCCTACATCATATGCTGCCAAAGCTTCCCCGAGAGGTAAGACCATGAAATCCTTGTCGCTGGTCACGTAGACGGATTTGGCGCCGATTTTTCCGACCTGATCGACTACCTGAAAAATCAAAATTCGAGAGAGAGAAAAAGAGAGAGAGAGAGATAGAGAGAGAGAGAAAGAGAAAGAGAAAGAGAGCGCGCGCGATAGGGTGAAAGTTATTATTTTTCCACTTACAGCATCGATGACGGTTTTCTCCGAGGGAGAGCACAACTCCCTTGTAAAATCTCCCTTCCGGGGAGCATCATTTAGACATTGTGCCGATGCGAATAACTGTTCAGTTCTGTCCGAGTTGATGTGATCACAGACGCTATTCTGGAATTGTTTGGGTTGGGATCGGGACCGCAAACGATCTGTGCTAGCTCGGCCGGCAGTTCAAAGCTCGTTCCCGTTCTCCAAGGACCCAGGCTAACCTATCCTGATAATTTGACTTACCCAATCGACATTATTCCGGAGATGAATCCCAACAAAGGGCCTTGTTAGGGTTTGATTGATGAAACTACGAGCCTTTTGAAGGATCTTGGTGTTCCACCTAAAATTGAAGCTTCATGAATTATCACTTTTTTGTTACCGGAGATATTTTTGGGTTTCCCAATCCTTTCTTCTTGATGGGAAGGCGGCTGGGGCTCCAGTAAAAGCTAGGACCGGATATTCAGCGGACGGATAGCTAGAAAAATAAGGGTAAATTCCCAGTATGAAGATGCTGGTTTGGGAAATTCGGAAAGAAGTATAGTTAAACGACTTACTTTGAACTCCACGCTTTCCTGGATCCGCTGACGGTGAGATCGTAACCGCCCTGATGAAAAATATCGGAAATCGAAAAGTTTGTGTACCTCAATATTTCCATAATAAGCATCAGATACAAACTCCACTCCAGCATAATCCCAGAAAGGCCCAAATGGGTTGCCCTCCTTTGCGAAACACCCGGTGGAGATCCCTTCTGGTAAAAGGATTCGCGCGGCGACCAGCAGAGGGCTGAAATTAAAGAAGATAATTTTTAAGCAAGAAACTATTCGGATTGCGCGTCCTTTTAAACGATAAACTACGCTAAAAAAACATGAAAAATTTGTTACCTTGTCTCTTCTCTTTCGGCCAGATTTCTGGAGCTATATTTCTCTTGAAATCGCCCATCGTAATCACTTTTAGATGTCGTCCAAGAGTTTTTGGTTGGTAGACCTCTTCGAATGGGATCATGGCCTGAATTTTTCATTTGTAGAGAGAGAGAGAGAGAGAGAGAGAGAGAGAGAGAGAGAGAGAGAGAGAGAGAGAGAGAGAGACAGAGAGATAACTTTCCAATGGCTTACCGCTTGTCCTGGTTTCGAAAAATCGATAAATGGTGGTAACACCAGGGTTCGATCTAGCCCTTTAGCAAAAGCAACACTCCCAAGAAGCTGATCGACTTGGTTTCCAAACCTCCCTAAAGTCACTTAAATTTATCTGTGCAAACTTCTGGCCTACCCATACAAGGACAATATATGACATAGCCATTCGGGTCAATTTCAACGCTCCGGGCTACGGTAGCCAAGGCAAATAATAGAAAATGGCCACCGATCATCGCGTTAGGGGACGAGGCTTAAGCCTGTATTAGTCAGTTCGGGGCACGTCTCAGGCTTCGGTCATCCAGCTGGAACTGATAACGATTTATTGAGGCAGTGTGAGGTGGGATGGGAACTTGTTGGCAAATCGGAACACGTAGAAATATGGGCATTAAAAGGCCTCTCATGTAAAGATTGGTTCCATATACCCTTCAGTAAAAATATCGAAAAATGTGTATTTTGCAGCAGGAGCTTCTGTAAATTTCGCAATTTTTACCGTTTGAAAAGAGGGCAAAGTCATGCTTTTAAAGTACGCTTCAAAGCTCAGAAAAATAGCATAGCTTTAGTTTCTGCTTTTTCAAACCTGTACTGGTCGTCCATAGAAAATATTTATTCATCCAACCCGACAGATTAGCTAAAAGTGTTTCATAGCTGGAAAGTTCGATTTGATATGGCAATATCGGCACCAGAAACAGCACAAAAATTAAGCCATTATCAAGACAATGACGAGGAAAAACAGGAGGATGCTGAGGATGAGGATCATCTTGCACTGGCGCTTGTCTGAAAAGTGTTTCGTTATTGATTTTTGTAGCTTTTGTTGGGTCTTTCTGGTCTGAATGGTTAAATGGCCTATTTAAAAATTCATAGAACGACGCTAGGTTTGAGAAAACTTAAAATAGATCATAATATGGTAAAAATAAAGTATATCTTCAAGGGAATATTATTTGTAAAGAACCAACCGTCATCCAAATTCGTCAATTTAGCCATTTTCTTCATAACACCGTCGAGTTTCGTGTCGACCCGCTCCATATCGGTGCCTAGCTCGTCAAGCATACTAAATAGTTTACATCTTTGACGAATTTGGTTCATTTTTAAATTAGTTTTTTTTTCATTCGGTTTCGCTTTTCATTCAATTTGAAAATCACGTCTAAGTCAAATTACGGCGTTTGAATGTAAAAGAGCTTAATTAACCCATTAGCGTATGAAAGCTATATCTAAATAACCTTAAGTAACCTACATATTCTGCTCCTCCAGTTCTTCATGAATTTTATAACTCATGTTCTTCAAATGGCCCATCGACTTGCTGACCAGGTCGAGGTCCTCATCTTGGTCTTTGATGATTTGCTAAAAAATTGAGATCTGATCAGATCATCACAGAAATTTAAGGATTTTAACCTTTTCACTTTCTTAACTTTACTTACCTGTTGTTTGAACAAAATATCCTGAAAGTTGTTGTCGGAATTTTGGTTATTTCCGGCGCTGCTCGTCGACGGCCCATCATCGTCCATGTCATCAAAATTCAGGGCCGTGTATTTGTAGCCGGACATTTTAGGCAGCGACTGAAATTCAATTTAAATACTTAATATTAAAGTATAATATCCTGAAAGACCGTGATTCATATAGTTTAGCCGGAGACATCACGACAAGATGGAATCAGCCGGGGAGCGGCTACAACCTTTACTATCGACACGGCAAGAGGCGGGAATTCGTAGGCGATTTTAAGGGAAATTAGAGTTGAAAATATGAAAAAATATCTTCAAAGAATAGTCTCAAAAATAATGGAAACTCGTAATAAACGTAATACTCATGATTAACCCATAAAAATCTATCTGAAATATATTTGGCAAAATTAACAATATTTTCATGGTTGCTAGGCAACCCCGGACGCAAAGCACGGGGCTGAAAATTGCTTCAGTTTACTGAATTCGACTCGGATATTCATCAAATACTGATCTGCAATGTCAGCCGAAGCGCTAAAGCTTATCATCGATTCGCTAAATCAGGAGCCGTTCAATTTGAACACGACACTAATAGCCTTTGACAATTTCTCGGACAATCGGCTGCTGCAAGTGTTGAGTGATGTCATTTGGTAAGTACAGTCGTTGAAGAGGCTTTAAAGTATTAAATCTCTAAAGTTGGATAACTGGGAATGATAATATCGATGTGCGTGATGAGAGCCCGGATGCGACGGCGTTGCGGCTTTTCAACAGTCTGAAATTGCTACGTTTTCGACCACCGACTGATATTGAGCAGCTGTAGGTCGAGAGCGAGAGAGAGAGAGAGAGAGACAGTGAGAGAGAGAGAGAGAAAGAGCTAGATCGCGAGATATATAGCGATAGAGATAGGGCGAGAGATGGAGAGAAACACTAATTTCTAGAGACGAATGGCGCGTGGGAATAGTAGAAGGGTCAAAAGCATCCGTCTACCCTGTGCTCTATTACATTTTCTCGAACGTGGATGCCTTAAAAGGTTTACAAACAGATATAACGCGGTAGCTGATTTTTTTTTAGAACGCGCCTACCTTGCAAAATTTCTTACAAAAGTCGATGTCCCGAGCGATATTCATGATATCGATACCGTGCAACTTCAGAATGAGCACGCTGAGGCGATGGAGAGGTTTAAGGTGGGGAGGTTCACGCATTAATCGGAGCGATAGCATATCATATAGCTTATTAAATTTAGATAGTCTTAAAAAATTTAAGTAGCCAAAAATTAGTATTTTTATAGGAGGCACATCAACAAGTGACTGAACTACGCGGCGATACTATGATGGTCGACGATATTAAGACAGATTTGAGGGCTATGGAACAGGTTGGATAAAGGGGCTTTAAAGGAACATAGAAGCGTTCAAACCGATCAATACGTGAAGTTTGAGGAGCAACCAGTTCGACTTTAGGAAAAGGAACAGCTAACCCGGCGAGTGGAGAAAATCCAGCGGAAAGTGGTGAACATGCCGAATTTGGACAAGTTGGTACTTTTCAACACATTTTCTTCAGGCTGTTCTTGGTATCAACAAATTTTTAGAATTATTGGTGCTGCCGAAGCGCATCGCAAGGAACTAGAACGACTTGAAAATCTGAATGTCCAACGCCAAGAACAGAGAAATGCGGTAGCCCGAGAGCGCTGAAATGTCATCGGGCCTAATTTTTAGGTGATCAACTCCGAGCTGAAAACGCAACGACTCGAGGCGCAGCTGAAAGAGATTCGGCAGCAAGCTGAAGGGTTGGACCCCAGTGACTTGGTGGCTCAGCTTGAGGTAGCCCCAAACTAAATACGATTAAAAGATTTTGATTTCAGGAAGAGATGAAAACCAACCATTTCTTGCTTGAAAAGCAAGAACAAGAAATTCGGAATCGGCGCGAGATGGTCAAGGAGTTGCAGCGCATCTCGGAAATGCCAGCTATTGAGAAATCGGAGGTTGACCAGTTGAAGAAGGATGTGAGTTTTGGAAAGCGAAATTTCTGAATTTTACATAGGTTGACACGATCAACCAGCGAATTATTGAGCTGGAGAGCGAGCGTGACAAACGAGAGGAGGGACAGGATGAGAATTTCTCGATTTATCGGCATCAGGCCGCTACGGTAGAACGGAAGCGGAATGGGGTAGCACAGCAGTTGCAAGAGGCGAAGTAAGGATATCTCTAGCTCTGGCTCACCCTCTCTCTCTCTCCCTCTCTCTTAGTCTCTCCCTCCCTCTCTTTCTCTAGCTCTCTTGCTCGCTATATCTTTGACTTGTTCAATAACGATTAAACTCAGAATCTTCCAGAAACGATCTCGACGAAATCCAGCGCCGTCTGGCCCAACGTAAAGAAGAAATGCGCTCTGACAACGGCGGTGAAGACGTCGTCACCTCCCTCCAGTTCAAGAACTACGTTAATAAACTCCGCGGTATCACGATACAGTACAAGAAGAGACGGGGTGAGATGGAGGATATCAAGGTTTGCATCGAACCGCCGGAAAAGGGCTTTGTTTTCAGTCCGAAAACCTGATACTGAATCGGACCTGCGAGCTGTTGACGAAAAAGTACGAGGACCTGAAGGACAAGATGGTAGGCGGGGAAAAGTTTTTTGGTTTCTGATTTGTCAACAAAAAAAATTGAAAATTTAGGAATCGATGGGGATGGTGGTGCTGGAGAACATTGAGGTTCCGATGAGGATTGAGAGGCCGAAAACCGCCGCGCCGAAAACGGACGATACGGAGGAGTTACGGTACGTTGAAGCAGGTTTTAAGGACCTTACCTTATTTAAAAAATCAGGCCAATAATTTTGAGGCTTTTCAGGAATATGATCAACGACTTGAACCAGCAGTTGGACGAGAAGAGGGCTAGGATTGCACCTTTGAAGGATAGACGGGAAGACGTTGCCAGGAAGTTAAATGTAACCTTTTTATTTTTCAATCCTGAATTATTTTAAACTATTTTTAATCTGTTTCGGGCATTTTCCGGAAAACAAAAAGCTTTTTTCCAGCTGACCCTCGAAGAGTTCCAAACCAAAAAACGTCGCTATGATCAGGAAAAGCACGCTATGGAGGAGCACTTTGCGGCTTTGATGAAAGTAAGAAATCGATACCTTGTTTCCTTGATTTTCTGGATTCTTTAGTTTTACTGGGTTTACTAATTTCAATTAACTTTAGCAAGTCGAGGACCTAGAAGCGCGCTATGAACACGCCAGCACACAGGGAAAAATGGCGGAACTGGCCGGGGATACAGCTGAAGCCCACATTGCCAAGATAACCGACGGATCGATAAATCAAGTCATTGAGGAGATTGAGGTTTTGAAACCAAATTTAGCCATTTTATTTATATTTTAGCAATTAACAAAGAAATACCAGCAAGACGCTGATGCCGGAAGGAGGGGAAGCGCGCAGGTAATTACAAGAATTATTATTTACAAAAGCACACTATCGCAAACCGTTAGTCTAAATTTAGGTCAACACGATTGACACGAAAAAACAGATGCTAATGTGGCGATCCCTGGAAAAAATATTCGAGATGAAACTGGCCCTGGCCAAGCAGGACCCGGCAAAAAGGCACTTTTTCATATCACGCCAATTATTCCAGTTTTCCAGCGACTACCCGATCGGCGACCGGCGCGGCGGAAGATTTTAATATTTGATGTTTGCAAAAACCTTTTATCGCAAAAAAGCCATTGTACGCCTCTGTCTTGTCAAGGCTGCGATTTTCAAACTGTTTCCTGACTTCTCTTCGTGCGTACTGTGTTACCAATCTGTAAGGTAAATTTATTACACCGAATGTGCTGCGTAATAAAGGGCTCTAACTTATTTGCGGTCATTCAGCTCCAAGGTCCATGTCTCAATCTTTTCCTTCAATTTTTTCAAATCCTCATCGTAGATGCGGGCATGCGGCAGGTACTTCTCAAACCTTTGCTCGAAGGCATCAATATCCTTTCCCAGTTGGACGCAGATTCCCGATGCTTTTGAGTATTCGGTTTGTTCTCCGGCCACTTTTAGGCTTTCCCGGATCACTTCGATGAGCTGCTGAGAGCCGGTTGTTATCTCTGTGTGCATATGGGTCACCATTTTGTTGAGCTCTTCGAATTGGTCCTCCAGAACCGCCGTGGCGGCTTTCTTTAGCTCGGCAATTTTCACCGCGCCTAAATCCTCCAATTCGTGGCTACGGTGTTTTCGCGTCGCGCAAGTCCCGCAGACAATAATCTTACACTCTGAACATTTGAACATTTCGTCGACCACACCTGCCCTTCCACATTGCCCGCACGCTAACCGTGCAGATTCGGCGGCGAGGAGCGTATTTAAAGTGCCGGCGGCCGAGGGTCGTGTGGCTTTTCCATTCATTGATTTGGCGTCTTCTTCCTCTGCCTCTGCAGAAATCGTCAGTGCTGACGTGTTCATAACATCTTCCTCAGCCAGGTCAAGCTTAAGCTCCGGCTCCTGCTTTGGGTCTTCCCACAAAGACAGAAATATATATTTTCGAATAGTAGGTTGCGTAGGCTTTCTATGATATTTGTTGCATGCGTTATCCCCGCACACCAAACACCACGGTTGTTCTTTTTGTTCTTCGTGGCACACCTTGCACAGAAGATGCGAATTCGGATGCATGACGAGGTGATTGCGCCCTGCAGATAGGGCATTCCAGCCGTTTCAAGGGCCCGGTAGAGATCCAGCCCTCGGTTGGGCTAACATTTCTTGAATCTAGGCAAGCTCGAATATTCGCTCGGGCGTCGTGCTATGAGGAACACAGGCCCGACAAGAACCGAAAACAATTTTCTTCTTTTTGTCGCTATAATAGCCGACGGCTACTAGGTAGCCGGAGCTGCTGAACGGCACGCCACATGTCCGGCAATTCAAAAAAACGAGCAGCATGGACAGCCAAAAAGGATCGTCTGAAACAAAGTTGGAATTAAAGCCCTGCTTGGAAGCTTCAAACAGTCAAAAATCATTCTTTTCAAATTTTTATTAACCGTGTGCAGGCCCGTAGGAGGGGGGGGAGGCGAGGGGGGCCAGCCGCCCCCCCCCCCTCCCCCGAAATCGGCCGAAGGCCGAAAAGTTCATAAGGGTTGAAGGTACCCTTATGATTTAATTTTTCCAAAAAATTTTTTGCCTGCGGTGCTGTTTTTGGCTATTTTTAACACTAGTTTTAGTGTTATAAACCCTATGTTTTCAAAAATTTTGCCTGCGGCGCTGTAATTTTAGTCATATTAGTGAAAAATTTTGGGGGTCGCCCCCCCCCCCGAAATTTGGGTTTGTTACGGCCCTGACCGTGTGGTCTGATCGTATTTGAATAACCGTAAACTTTCAAATTGTGCCTATGAAACATGAGCCCCCAATTGGCGCATAACGTTGGGCGATACTGTAGATATTTGATCCCACGCGCGAAAACATATTGGCGAGTTTTATTTTCCATAGCTCAAATCATAGCATTTTTGAATTTTTGAATTGAGTAAGCTGTGGCACAAAAATTTAATAATGAGGACAGAAGAAAAATCCTCGCAAAGGCAATTAAATTTAAGAAAATTAGTGAACGCAGCCGTAAAAAAACGCAAATGAACCGACGGCATGGGGGCGTGCTTATCAGGTTTGCATTTCTCTGTTGCACTAACTGTAAAACGGTGCCCTGTATAAAGGAAAAATCGATAGCTTTGAAAACAACTCATTGAGATTCACTATTTATTCAGGCTTAAGCTCCAGCACAAAAGAATCGATTGCCTCCTTCAACTTTTTCAGGTCCTCCTCATAGATTCGAGCTTGCGGAAGGTACTTTTCAAATTTATCCTCGAACCTCTCCATCTTGCTCCGCAGCTCTAGGCAGATTTTCGAGCCGTTCGCATATTCCACTTCGCGCCCGACGAGTTTGAGGCATTTTACGACCGCTTCATTGAACGCCAGCGAGCTAGCGGTGATTTCCGAATGGATGTGAACCACCATTTGGTGTAGACCTACAAAGTGATCATTCAATTGTGCCGTGGTAGCCGCTTCCAGGTTTGCGATTTTCAAGGCGCCAACGTCGATGAGGTTGTGATCGCGGTGCTTGCGGACGACGCACAAGCCGCATAATGTTATTTTGCAGTCTTCGCAGTTGAACAACTGATCCAGGAGGTATGTTTTGAGGCACTGTCCACACTTTTCACTACCGATATCGAGTTCCATCGGGTGTGGGGATTCGGTCGGCGTGGATTGTGCAGAACCAGGTCCTTGCCACCATTCAATACCAACTTCCGCTTCTTCTAAGCCGACCGCAGCGTTCGTGAACTCTAGATACTGCCCGACAATCGGGGCCTCGAACCGACTCGGCCCGCAGTTCCTTTGACAGACCTTACATCGTTGCTGCGCTCGGTACTTCTCGTAGCAGGCCTTGCACTGGAGATGATAATTCCCCCACATCAGTACTGGAGCCATTTTGCCCTTACGTGTGAATTCCTCCTGGCAAAGTGGGCATTTCAACTTCTTGAGCGGTCCATTGGCTTTCCATCCCTCCGGTGTGCATACCAGGTTCGGTTGATCCAAGATATCCTGCAAGTAGGCGACGTCATTTTTGCTCAAGGAGCCGACGGGAACGCATTTGACGCAATAGTGCCCCTTGTAGGTTTTGCCATCATCGTAAAAAATAGTGCACGTCTTCGATTTCAGGGTAGTACCGCAGGATGGGCATTTCAGAAAGTCCAAGAGCATTTGCCTGAAAATAGGTATAATCCGGAATATTAAGTTGAAAAGAGGATGGAAAGGGAAGTGTAGAGAGGCAAGATACAGCTAGACATTATGGTCTTCGTCATAATTCCCACTTTTTCAATAAATTTCCGACTTACCCTAAAATCCTGAGTATAGTTCCGGTAAAATTTTGCAGCGTAACAATACAAATGACACTCTGACAACGTGTATCCCCGCCCGTTCGCCGCAAAAGCGATAAGCATAAGCCAAAAAAGCGGTTCTTAGAATTTCCTGCATCATTTTCTTTCATTAAATCACTCAAAATGCTGGAAAAGTTGAAATATGAGCAAGATTCTATCCAAATTGCAAAACCAGCTTTCGTGAACGGAGTTATTTGCGAAAAAAACCAAAAAGCGAACTATAGCCGCGATTTTTGGGTGATTAATTTTCTTAAGCTTGCTTTTCGGATATGTGCAAAGGTCAGTTTCAATTTACAAATTTAATAATAATCGTGATAGAACCATTTCGAACCAAAAAAACTATAGAAACGTCTACAAAAGTTGAGTCTAATTTATCACAAATAAGTCGTGAACAAGGTTCCAAAAACAAACAAAAATAAGACTTGCTAACCGTCGAGATGGGAGAAAGAACCGTTGCCATGAGAACGCCAAAAAACAACACTTATTTTCGGCGGCCAGCTGACCGGCCTGTTTCCCAGGTGGCGGAGTGGGAATAAACCGCGTAAGCCAATCCTTTAGAAAGCTCGCGAAAAGCCTGGCGAAAAAAACCGAATGACGTATTAGGAGTAAAAGTATCTGGGGGTGTTTTTTCTTCATAGCGGATTCCAAAAAATTTATAGCTTTGCCCGTGCATTGATAGAAGATTCAGTATCGGTCATCCTTGTTCGCATACCATCCAAGTGTCGTCGACAGTCTTTTGCCCGTTCTTGAAAGAGGCCGTAATACGTCGCGCCGCTCAATCGATTTCGTTTTGCTAAATTTTTGCCTCGTAATCTATAAGGAGATAACGAGCCTGGTGCTGCCTGATTCACGGGCGGCGAAGACGGGATCGGCGGTGTATTCTAAAAGCCTGTAATTGATGGAAATTAGGAGCTGAAACCTGCGAGTCCATACTTCCGAAATGAAATACGCCGTGACGAGAGATCAGGCCGACTTATCAAGTTGTGTTCGCGGGTTGCACAGGGGGGTTGTCAGCTAAAATTGTCCAGATAATGGGGGTGTCCACCGGTACTTCGGGACTATTCCTGAGGAAAAAACGTACGGGCGGCTTGATCTATCTATTCTTTGCAACATTATTTATGGGAAACAGCTAGTTCAGTAAGCGGTTTTCGAATTTCAAAAGCGAGAGAGAGAGAGAGAGAGAGAGAGAGAGATAGAGAGAGTTAGAATTTAATGTCTGCTTTTGTGCCTTTCCGTATTTATTTATTGTCTTAAAAATCACAAGTTTCGACGTCACAGGTGTAATATTCGTTCCGGCTGCGCGAGCTTACAGACTTGGTAAAGCTTGTGAATACTGGGATTCTCTGAAAAAGAGGTAAAAACAAGTGGTAGACCGGAATACCATGCAAGCCATTGAAGACGCCAGTATCGTTTTATCATTCTCCCAATAGCCATGATGGAAGTGAATATTGACATCGTCAGGGGTTCCATGCCGCCAAACCTGTTTTGCAAATGACAATGTCGTCATCTCTTTTTGCTGAAAATAATTACGACCTTACCCTTTCAGATACTTGAAGGTTAAATGCTTTGAGACTACATAAAATCTAATAATTTGTATCATCTGATACCGTGCAATTCGTCGGAGGTATATGAAATCGTTTTCCGTTCCTCTTCCCGTCAAGCCACCACATCTCCTGGCCGTTGTCGAGCTTTTTATAACCTTGTTTCAGGGTAAAGCAATGAAAGGTTTTCCCCTAAATAGCTAGGCTAACTTCAGAACGGTCAAAAACCCACCAACTCGACCGGCGGTAGCTCCTTTCGGGTCATATTGTAGGGTCCGGTCGACATGAAATGGTTATGGTCGCAGTTTCGTACCAGCACGAGGTGCTTGGACAGACATATGGTGAGGAAATTCAGGATCAACCCGATCAATCTCGACATTTTGGGCCGCCCAGACCATTGTGAGCAACCGTTGACCTATGTCATCGCTCGGGAAAGCCATTGTTTAGTTACGGAACGGTTTTTGCTCAAAACGAACTGGCGTTCCAGTCCCATGGTCTTTAAAGCGCGCCTGTTTGTTGCATCAGTAGCTAAAGGATGTAACTTATTTCAGTTAAAATAGATATGCGTGTGGTCACTAAAGACCTCGACTAGTACGACGTCTACTGTAACTTCCAGAAAGCGCAGAACCTCCAAAAAGACCAAAAAGATTGCAAAAAGCCTAGGACATTCGGGGTTCCCAAGCCATAGCCCATCCAAGTAGTAACCGAGCCCAACATTGCTTAACTTCGCAGATCGGACGGGATGCCGTGCTTTCAACGTGGTATAGGGGAAAGACGTGTGGGACACGTGGTTAAAATCCCAAGCCTTTCTCACGGTATGGTCCTTCCAATCTGATGACATCGAGTCACACTCGATCACACCCTGGTGTCGCTTGCTTGTGCAGAATCGAGAAAATATGATACACGGCACCGACTCGCGCGAGTCCGACGCCAGCTTGCCCCCTTCAAACGGTGTAAAAACGGATTCCGCAACTAAACAATGCGGCCACATTTCCGCATAAGCAGCCACTCTCCAGCATCAATCACACTGAAAATGCTGTGCAATTTCAGCATTGTGGCCACGTTTCTTGCGGCGACAGCCGCAAACTATATTCTAGTTCTAAATAATTGTAGATACCATCCGTTCTACAAACAGAGCTTGAAACTGGAGCTCGACACGGTAAGCCCACTCAATTACGCGCCGTTTCCGGTAAAAATCTGTAGGGACGAAGCGTTTAGGCACGCACCTACTCTTGCTTTTCTATCATACGCGGGGACGTGGTGAGAATCAGGGGAAAGGACATCATGTCTCAACGGCACACGCAACGGGAAACGTTTTGAAGAACTGCCCCTTGACTGCAGTGTTAGTTTTGGTTTCGCAATTGACAATATTCAAAAAGCCTTGGGAGCATCTGGATCAAATTAAATCATTATGTTTAGTTTTTGTCAGACTCATATGTTGAGTTCCCACACGCGCCATGGCGTCCGAAGATCCAAAGGAGATTGATATCACCATTAATTTTGGGCGATACCCTGACTGGGAATTACAAGCAGCCAAAATCGCTTGTTGGGTGAATGAAATTTTTCCATTGCCCGGAAACCGTCGTATAATTTCAGAAACGTCCGAGTTATTCCGAATTCACGTCGCAGGTGACTTCCGAATACGAAAATTATCGATGCGAGCTGCATGGGTGCGCTCTCTAGAAGACGGATCTTTTGGCATTATTGTGATTTTATATGAATGAATAAAGTCTCAATAAACAACTCAATAAATAAGGTCTTCTAGAAACCTGGACTTTGATCGCTACGACAGGCAAAAAACGGACTTAAAATTTCGAAAAGTGCGGTTTTTGCAACAGGCAGGCAAAAGCCTACGACACCCGGGATTCCCAAGCCGTCTCCGATCCAAGTTCTAACCGAGCCCAACGTCGCTTAACTTGGCAGATCGGACGAGATGCCGTGCGTTCAACGTGGTATGGTCGTAGGCGAAAGGAAGGGTCGAGAAAGGGGTGAACAGCCCGAGGGAGGGCGGGACAATGTTAACAATTGAAAGGGAGCACAGGCGTTGCCACTCCAGAGATCCAGCCCCCGATCCCACCCGACCTGTCGCCTACGACCATACCACGTTGAAAGCCCGTCATCCGGTCCGATCTGCCAAGTTAAGCAACGTCGGGCTCGGTTAGTATTTGGATCGGAGACGGCTTGGGAATCCCGAGTGTCGTAGGCTTTTTGCATCCGAGCTTTTTGCTTTTATATTCTTTTTGCATTTGTCTTCCCTTCTTGCATTTCAAAAAAGCGTTACCGCACTGTTTTGTCGAAATGGTGAGACGTTGCTGAGATACCGTCAGATTTCCGCGAACATACTTTCTTTCGGAGTCCAATACGTCCCCATGATCCCCTTTGTAACTGCACCAAAAACCAACAATTTACGGCCCCAGCGTCCGTAAACCCACATAAAATGAAGTCGCACTGATTTCTGCCATCCCGCAAAACACTCTTAGATCGGGCAAGGCAATTGCCGTGCAATTTTGTGCCTTTTTTGGGGGCTGGCCGGGAGGATTTAGTGGAGGAGTGGGGGAACATGAGGAACACATCCTGTTAGCGCGTCCAAGGTCGTCTACCGGAATTTGCTTTAAAAGGATGTTGTTAAAAGAGACGTGTCCGGAGATTTTGGAATGGCGGCGGGTCCAGGTAGGGGCTAAACACATTTCTAAGGATACGGTAGTTATCGTCAAGACCTGCTATTGTTCTTTAAGAATTCGAAATTTGCTAGTAAAACTTTAATACCTGTGATTTTCAAGCTTTCCCCCCGCCAACCGGGAGGATTTTTTCTAACATTTTTATTTTATTTAATATTAGGCTCAAATTAAAATTCGCAAGATATTTTTCGACGCTCTATCGAATGGTGTTGAGCTAATCCCGAAAAAATAGCGGAATATCGAAAACTTTGAGACCCTTCGGCCTTGGGGGGGGGGGGTGAGGTAAACTCTGATGAAATTTCATAGACTATACAAAAACTAATATGATTATTTAGTGGTATTGGTAACCGGCGCTTCCGGATACCTAGGCGCCCACTGCGTCAAGCTACTTCTGGAGCGAGGTTACCATGTACGGGGTACCGTTCGGAGCCTGAAAAATGAGACGAAAATCCGGGCGCTTCGACACATCGAGGAAAACGTGCTGGTAAGTCCAGAATCTAAACGGGTAACTTCTTCTTAGGGCTCTCAGCTCGATCTCGTCGAAGCCGATCTTCGGCATCCGGAAGATTGGCCGAGTGCGGTGCGGGGGTGCTCTTATGTGCTCCATGTGGCTTCCCCGTTTCCGCTTGGTGGCAATGAGGAGACGATTCATACAGCGTTGGAAGGGACTCGGAATGTACTTGAGGTGGGTTTCAAATTTTTAATTAACACACCTTAGCTTGCCTTAAAACTAAAGTTCAGGCCTGTTCACGCGAGCTTTCGGTCAGAAAGGTGGTCCTAACGAGCAGCATATTGGCGGCACTGGGTGGGTATCAAGTGTACTGTGGCTAATTTTTCATTTTTCTGTTTAAAAGCATTCCGGTGGCTTCTTAAATTTAGGAAAGGCCAGTCCAGTTCCTCGCACGGCTGATGAGGGCTTTTGGGGAGACCCAAACGAGTCGGCAGTCGCCTACATCGCCAGCAAGATTGTGGCCGAGCGCTTTGCATGGGAATTCCAGGGCCGAAGAGACTTGCGGAATCGGTAAGTAGCTTTTCGTATTAACAGAACCGGGTATTAGATTTGCACTCACTACAATCTGCCCCGCATTGATCGTTGGCCCGCCGTTGACTGATATAAAATGCTCGAGTGTTGAGGTTAGTTGACTGCTCATCTAGATACTAAAGCGTATTAAGCAGCTCTTTTTATAATGTACTACGGCCTTAAAAGCCAGTAAAACTATAGACAATCTAGCGAAATTCAGTTAATTTGCGACCTTTTCCAACTGCCCGTTGTCCCGAAAATCGGCCTACAATGCGTGGACGTCCGTGATTGCGCTTTGGTAAATTTTATAGACCACACAACGACGATTTTTGGTTGGCCATACATCTTAACGTTCACGTACACTATTTTCTCTTAAACTGGCGATTTCAAGGCCCACGTTCGAGCGATGGAACGTCGCCAAACGGACGGCTATCGTTTCTTCCTTAGCGAGCAGAAACCTACGGCAATCAAGGCGATGGCCCAAGCGCTGAACGATGAATTTAGGCCCTACGGTAAGTAAGTGTCATTAAATACGCGTTGAACACAACGACCGCATTAAACTCCACTTTCTAGGTTATCGAATCTCCACAAAATTGCTACCGAACAGCGTCCTCAGCACGGCCGCGCGGTTTGTCGTGAAATTCCGAATGTTTCACGTGTTCCTGAATTGGAATTGGACGGTGGATAATCGAAGGGTGGGTTACGGTAGGGAGGGCGCAGTTTCAAGGAGATTCAATTTCAAGGAAGCTGAAAATCGAATTTAAGTACATTTCTTAGCTTTTTGTCTTGCGCAAATTTGGGACAATTTTTATTAACTGAGGCCATCATAAGTCTATTTTTATTCACTTTTAGTGCCGTCAAATATTGGGCATAAATCCAAGGGATTGCCTGGTATCGATCGTGGAAATGGCGCACGAAATAATTCGACGAGGCCTGATCCCAAAAACACGGAAATATATCGAAATGAGGGATTCACAGCCGAAAAAGAGCTTTGTATAAAATGGAATTGTACTAAAGTGCATCAATATACAGAGCGAATAAAGATTCACAAAAATGGCAAAAAAAACGGTCGCGTGCTTTCAAAAATGAGAAACACGTAGGGCGGAACTTGAAGAAAAGGGTGAAGCGTTTTGTTAGAGCTTGGATTTCCGCAGGTTTTGCTTCTTTACAAATTCCCGTGCCGGGACGACGATTTTGCGGAAGACTTCTGTTTTGTCTTGGAATAAGCCATAGTAGGTGGCGCCGCTCAATCGGTTTGGCTTCGAGTCGGCTAAAAACTTGTTTATTTTTGCTTTCTGAATCTTTGCCTTTAGTCTACCTATGTAAATATTACATAGAACCACCTGATTTTCGTTCATCGCTGTTTTCTGAGAAATTAAACTATTCCTTAGTCGTAACGTGCTGCGAAAAATCCAATGAAAAAAGCTTAAAAAATTTTTCAAGGAGAGAAGAATTTTAGAAAAGCTACAGGCACTTACTCTTAACGGGCTCCTCGATGAACGCGGCCGCTTCCATACTTTCAGAAAATTTCTTAGCCTTAGAATTACGAAAAGCGGGCGATTTCCGGGTTCCGAAGTATCCGGGAACGTCTGGGAATTTGTGGTTTTCGATAGACAGCCCGGATTGGTCCCTGGTGTCCCGCTCAAACCAGATAAAACTCCGGGACTTGGGTCGTAAAAATTACGAGGAGACTTGTGTCTAGATGCGGGGGAACCCCGCTCTTCTACGTTTCCTTATTGTTAGTGAGAAAGCGATACATAGCGTAAGCCTCGAGGATCGACGAGCATCCTTTTATAGCACTACATCTAGTAGAGACTTAATAGACCGAAAAACTATAGAATCAAGCTTCAAGCTTATCAAGCTGACGCCTCGCAGGAATCGGACCGCTAGATCGGTGTTTAAAGATAAGCCGTGCTGGTGCCATGGCCGACCAGGAAGTCAAAAAAAAAACGGAAAAAGTTTGAGCATTGGACTGCCGAAAAATGCCAAGTCGAAAAATCATAAAATCGTCAAAACGAGCGAAAAATCCGCAAAAATCTAGGAAACTAGTGAAAACAATAGAATTTCCTGAAATCGACAAAAATCAACCCTTTTTTAATGTTGCAAATGATGTGTTTTTCCACGCGGTGATTCAGCCAGTGGTGAGGTAAAAGACAGAAAAAGACATGAACGTAAACATTTTGCATTTATGATGAGACGCGGGACTCGGAAATCGCTTCAAAGTGGATTCATCATTTTGCAGATCACCATCCTTTGATTGATCGGGCAGCGTTTTTAGAATTTTGCACTGTTAGTTTCACCTACAGCTACACCCGATGGTTTTTTTCCCATTATCAGCTAGATCTTGCAATTCGGGGGATAGGAGGGCACAAATTCGTCAGCGACTTTATCTCGATTTTAATCCTTCGAATTATGCAGCAATTTTTGTAGTCTAAGAGCGCTGTAAAATTCAAAGAAGACACGTTTAGCTTGAGTTTAATTCAATCTAGAATTCTGAAGGAACACGGCCTTTCGGGACGTCGCACAAAAACTGGAAGCCGAGATTCTGGGGAATCGTCACTTTAAAATTCGCGTTTTTGGCTTTCGCGAAGCTGCAGAATCCTCTTTATAGCTTTCAGATGAAGAGCGAGAATAAAGCCTCTTCATTTCCGGGTAATACAAAAAGAAACATTTCTCAATCGAACCCCCGTAATTCGGTTCTCTTTGCCGACTGTGCTGGATAGGGACAGTTTTTGGCGGGCCCTCATCATTCTCCCCAAAATGTGTTTCTCCGACTGGGAGGTGGTAGTAGGCAAATGTGGCCTCCCCACTTTGATCAAGCCACCCGATTTGGCCCGCCAGCCGACACATCTGGGCGCGGCGGGGCTGGGCCCAACCGGGTGATCCAACCAACCCTTTTGGGTCTTTGCATCCTCGCGACAACTGTTATGTAAACCATTTTTGGGGTCTCCTTTTATTGCCGAAATTGTGTGCCCGCCTGTCTTAATAGGCGTGTATACCCTTGATTACCTTGCTTACAGGCTTTAACACACGAATCTCAGTTTTTAAGGTTCCTTAAACTCCATATTGACTAGCCTATTTCGTCGCCTGTAATTTCAAAGCTTCTTAGCACCTTATAGATGCGCCCGCCATTACACGGCAACAAAAGCCTTGAAGAAAGATTTTATTCCCAGCCAAACGCGGTGGTGAAGCCAACACCACCTCCAACTCCCGTCCCTGAAGAAGTACCGGAAAGGGGTTAGCAGCCTATCTAAACTTATTCTCCTTGCTTTTTAGAACTGAAAGCCATCATTGATGCGGTTGGGCTGACGCTTGAACGTTTGCGCCAAGACGGTGGGTTTTGTTACGTTTCGGAGCCGCGCAATACAAAAATGAAGAACGGCAAAACGCAAAAAGCTTTTCTCCACCTTTAAAATCGGTTTTTCTTTCAGTTTAAAACTAACCATTCAGAAGCGCCGCACTGGATCGCGCTGCGCGTCGCCTGCTTTGCAATCCCACCCCTCGTGGGGACGGGCGGTGAACGGATCCGGCATATTCAAGACGTTACCGCTACGAGCATCACCGTATCCCCTTACCTCGAGCCGGATCTTCTGTTTCGCGCCGTACACATCTACGGGACCGTTAGGGGCGTTATGAGCGCGTGTCGCTATGTAAGAGCGGTAAGGCTTCTGGTAGAAACGTTGATCTCAGTTATATAACAAAATTTAGTAAAACATCCATTAAAAATTCAGCTCGCCGACTCCATTGATCCGAACATGCCATTTTCGGAGGTTATCTGGGTACCGGGCAGATTCATCGGGCGCATCATCGGCCAACACGGGTGGACGATTAAATGGTTAAAGGTATAAACGCTAATAAATAGTCATTATTTGCTAAAGTTACTACACTAATCGACTTAATCGACTGTACGTCATCAAAAATAAGTTTCCACTGAAAACTTTCCAGGCAGTCACCCAGGCCTACCTTGGCTTTCCAAAGCACGAGCCGGGGCCCTGGCACAAGCCACTGCCGCTTTTGATTGCCGGCACTCAGAAATCGGTAAGAGCTGAAAAGTACGACCGTAACAAATGAAATAGGTATATTTTGCTGCCAACTTGGTCCGTTTCTATATATTGCATCCGAATGCTTGGGTTGCCCCGGGGAACTTGATGGCTCGGCGGCAAACGGGTAAGTTTCTAGCGGAAACCGGCTTTTTGAAAGCAACGTGTTTTGTGGTTTCTAAACAAAAAAGATTTTATAGTTCCAGCTCCTCAAAACGCTGTCAACAACTACGACGCGGACGCGGCGCCGCCCCCTCCTCTGCCCGCGTTCAACAACGAGACCGGCCAGACCATGTACAGCTTCTATCGCAATCTCAACCTGCACGACGAGGCGGTGATGGTCGCCGAGGTGATGCAGGTAGGTATCCAAAAATTCCAGCTTAGGATTACAACAAAACTCTTTTTTTTGTAAACACCTTGGAATTTAAACATACTTGCCTTCAAACCAGAAAAATATTTTCCAGCACGCCGGATGTAACCCTGAAGCGCGCCACTGGTCCCGGGCGAGCCAATAACTCGGAGAAATACCTCAAATCTACGCGCCCCAATGATCTTTTGTACTCAGAAATTAACAAAGCTATTCGACGATAGCTGATCCCTAACCTACCACCCCTATCTTTAAATCATAAATAACTTTTGTAGAAACAAAAATGCTTGAAGTTCCAAGCAGAACTGCATAGTTCTCCGTCCCAATTCGCTCCGTAGCACCAATAAAATTTTTCCGATAATTTATAAAGCGCATTCACACGTGGCTTCGCCCCCATATTGCCACACAGAAAAATCACAAATTCACAATGTATCACAATAAACAAAATGAAAAATCGATACCTAGTTCAGGTCAATAATTTCATGAGGCGGCTTGAGGGTCCACCGGGTCAGCTTCAGGGTCCGCTGGGGCATTTTGAGGGGCAGCCGTCGGGTCGATCGGGGTAAGTTCAACGCCGGCCCGCTTCTGTACTTTGAGCGTCACACTCTTCGGAGAAACGGTGATCCATCCGAAATACTGCAGGCTTGCCTATAAATAGACGTTGAACGGTGTCTTGACGTGATACAGTAATCTCCGAAAAATTATATTTACCTCAAATTTCTCGCCGGCAGTGATATCGAAATGGCGGTAGACCTTGGCAAGGGCGTATTTTAGCTCCAACTCGCCCAGATACCGACCTAAAGAATAATTTATTTGAAAAAAATAATTTCTGACCTGCACAGATGCGCGGACCATCACCGAACGGCAGATAAGCAGCCAGTTGCTCGTCAGTGACATGGTGCCACCGAAAGAAAAAGTGTTTTCAACTTCAAAGGGGTATCCACCTTTCCGGTTTGAACTCCATGGCATCGTCACCCCAGATCTCGGTGGATCTTTGCAAAGAGCGGACATCAATCTGTAATCAGTAACCAAGCTGAAAGCTGCAGTAAAATACCTGCACGCAGTCGCCCTTGGCCAGTTTGATATTGTCAAGCACACCATCATTCTGCGCAATCCGGGTAACGGCCCTAAAAACCGTTGAGGGAGAAAAACAAAAATGGCCTACACAGTTCCGGTTGGCTCGAGACGCATGACCTCTTTTACGACGACATTCAAAAATGGAAGGTTCTGAACTTTGTCGTATGGCATTGGGGCATTCGGGTCCGGGAATTCGGCGTCCAGCTCCTCTTGCAATAGTTCTTGGACCTAAGCAAAACAAATAATTCGCCAAAATGAAATGACCCTGGGGTATTTGGCCAGGTAGTAGGATGCATAAGCCATTCCGCTTGACGTGCTGTCGAATCCGGCGATCAAAAAGAGTAAGCAATGCACCGCCACTTCAGCCACGTTCATCCCTTTAGACAAGCCCACCTAAACCAGACTGAAAACCACAAAAATAAAATTACGCTCGGCCCCGCGAGTCCCTCAAGCGCTTCCAGCTCCAAGTTGGTTTCATTTCCGGTGGCGTTGAGAAAGTCGTCGATGAAATCCTTCGATTCGATGTCGGCTTTTCCCTAAAACAAAGAATCAATAAAGCAAATCGTTCTCTTACCGCCCGCTCAATCTTGCGCAGCCTGATCGCTTCTTCGATTACCTTGAGTTGCCTAAAGGGAGGCTGCTCAGTCAGCCGGCCGGCCGTCAAGAAAAACTTGCGAGCCAACTTAACTCCGCTGTTCACAAACAAAGATGTCTAGTTACCGGCCGCAGAGCGCTAAACATGGCAGCGCTAAGGAAGATCGGGTTACGAGGGTCGCGGCTGAGGAAGGCCTTCGTGTCGTCGACGTATTGGTTCGAGAACAGTTGGGAACCCTTTTGGCCCATCGCCATCCGAGAAATGATGTCGATGGTCAGCTCCTGGTAGTTCCTGGTTTGAAAAAATGGTAAGGTCTTGAAGGAAGATTGATACCTTAGCATCTCGATTTCCTGCCCATCAAAGGTAAGAAGGTGGTTCACAAAATGGTGGGTCGAGTCGGTGATGGTGGGGTAGAGCTAAAAGTGGGGCCAAAATATAACGAAAGGAAGCCTTCTTGCCTTCTTGACATTGAGGGGTGAAAGCTGATGTGCGACAATCCTGCGCAAGCGCCTCCACCTTTGCCCGTAGGCCTCGACGAGATGGGCGCTGTCGTCCGTTGGTCTGGTTTGGAAGATGGGGTTTCCCTAAAAATAAAGGATATCGAAAACGAAAACAAAACTTACCCGTCTCTGTTGGTACTGCGCGTACTCCGAGACCAAGACTTGCTTTGCCAGCGCGGGGGTGGCGACGACGAGTATATTGCGGTAACCCTCTTGATAACCCCAGACCGGGCCGAACTTCTAAAAAGAAGGAAATACGCGTCGGAGGTAAAAAGACGTACCGCAGTGTAGCCAGGCAGCTTGTGATACCATGGATTGTGTGGGTCGGTGGATTCCATCAGTGAGCCGATGATTGGCCTGAACTCGAGGCATGGAACGCCCTTTCTTTTCCAGTAGGATCCACCGAGCAGTCGGTCGCGGATGAAGGTGAGGATTCCGTCGAGATGCCCGAAGCTGGTGACGAGCAGAACAGAGAGTAGTAACACTCCAGCTGTCACCAGCCACATCAGAATCGCCAGAATCATCCCGATGGGGTTTGCCCGAAGAGAATTAAGGTTAGAAACAAGAAGTGGACGAGTTCGAAGACAGATGCAACATTCAATTAAACCAATTTTAAGGATTCAGGGCCAAAAATCAGCTTGTAAAAAATTAAAAGGTAAACGCCAATATTCGCAAAGCATCAAGCCAAAAGGTCCGAAAGATTTCCATAACTAGCACGGAAAAAGACACGTAGTTTTGTCCGAACCGGAGGATAGAATAGGTGCGCGCGGTTGCACTTTGGCAGAACTCTAGTCGCCGAAAGCAAAACCTATCCACTTGCACTTTAAGGGTGGAAAACACGGATGGGTAGGGGATACATCGAGGAGGAGGAGGCGGCGGCAAAAAGGTAAAATGCGTAAAAAGTGCTGGGGGTATGGCGGTGCCCCTTGGAAACCTTGTGCGCGATCCCCGATGTAGAAAAAGCTTGATAGAATGTAAAATACGTACAGTACGTACAATAGGTACCGAGAAAATTGCAAAAACCGAACTGCTTGGCTCGGGGAACGTCGTCCGAATGTCCTAATTGTTTCAGCGCCTAGTCGGGCTATCCGTACTAATGTCAGCAAAAGTCTAGAATTTTTTTTCTTCCGGTAATTAATTACAATTAATTGTACAAAACGATTATTTAGAATGAAATTTCCGCAAAACCAAAATTAACTTTCGCTTGAAACTTTTGAATTGGCCAGCCGAGAAGCGCAAAGACTTCATTGGGTATCTCCCGACCTCAGAAAAGTTAAAAAGATTACTTTTCCGCTTTTTTCTGGTTGGAACTCTTTCATTACGCGTCCTTGCCCACGGCTTTTTTTGGTAGCCTTGGATGTTGGCCGAAATGCGGGCGGGTGTTTCGATTGATGGTGCACATGGGGTTGGATGATAGAAAGGCGAGTTGCTAGCTTCGGTTGTTTTTTATTTAATTTTCAATGAGTAAAGTAAATAGCGGACTACGTTGCTTACATGACATCTACGCTTGAAATCACGCTTACTAGCGCTAAAACATGTTCGCAGAAAAACATGCGCGCGTTTTCTGTTGTTTAGAAACCACTCTAGGTTTTGGTTATAACTAAAAAAGTGAGAAAGGAGAAAGGTACAAGTGAAAAGAAAAAGGAGCGATCTTTCCGGGTGGGTGCACTTTTCCTGGTTGCCCTTTTAGCAGCTCGGGCTAGTGAAAGTGAAAAATTGGCCTAGCTTGGGGAGTGCAAAAATGGCTGCATGGTATGGGTGTTCAAACCGCAGGGAGCGCGTAATGAAAATTAGAAATACGGTTATAATATGGTGGAAATATTAACATCTAGAGATCTGCGGATCTAACATCTTTTTCCGCCCCCTCCAAGCCGGCTATAGTATTATTTCGCGATTTGGTATCATAATCTCGCATTTTCATAATCTCGCATTTTCATAATCTCGCATTTTCATAATCTCGCATTTTCATAATCTCGCATTTTCATAATCTCGCATTTTCATAATCTCGCATTTTCATAATCTCGCATTTTCATAATCTCGCATTTTCAGAATCTCGCATTTTCATAATCCCGCAATTCCCATAGACTAGCTGCATTTCTACTAAGTACAACTAGTAGAGCCTCGGAATTTGGAAGTTTCTGGAAACGTTGGGCGGTTTCCAGGAACGCATCGACAACCGTCTAATCGAGGCCCAGCAATAGGGCATGAAGCAGACACCCATTGCCATCGATTACCAAGCCCAGCGTGGCCTCGACGATGCGTACGACGCATCTGACCATCTCGAATCCCTTAAATTAGTGGCCCAGACATTCGATTAATTTGTTGTGTTCCGCTTATTCTGGGGATCAATCATCATTCATCGAATTCTTGGAACCGTTGGAAAGCCCTTGGAAAAGTTGCGAGACTGAAATTGCTAGATCCTGAAAATGCTAGATCCTGAAAATGCGAGATTTTGAAAATGCGAGATTCTGAAAATGCGAGATTCTGAAAATGCGAGATTCTGAAGATGCGAGATTCTGAAAATGCGAGATTCTGAAAATGCGAGATTATGAAAATGCGAGATTCTGAAAATGCGAGATTATGAAAATGCGAGATTCTGAAAATGCGAGATTATGAAAATGCGAGATTATGATAATGCGAGATTCTGAAGATGCGAGATTCTGAAAGATTCCCTTATTTCGCTGGTGCAAGCGCGCAACAACCGATACGTGCAAGGTCGCAAGGCTCGATAGGGTCAAAAACCCCCTTGGAGAACCCAAACGCTGGTAGGGGAAAAAAAGAGCAGTAGCAGCAGCCTGGAGATTGATGCGATATTTTTGGGGGATGGGTGGGGAACGCATAGTTGACAGCCTGGCTTTTTGACGGCAATGCGATGAACAACGTATTACCCGGCCTTGTTAGTTCCTGCGTTAATGTATTTATTTGATCTTCAGATGTCTGGAAAACAAAAAGTTATCCCGTCCTTTTCTGGGCAACAACTGTCACGGATTTCGGGGCGACGGTCATCCAGCCGAGCAGGTGCAGCGATTTCTGAGACTAAGGTACGATCGAAAAGATTAAATTACCTCGAAGTTCGGGCCAGCTTCGAGGTTATAATCTCGTAAGAGGGAGGCCAGAGCGAGCTTCTCCTCCATGTATGCTAGTTTAAGACCTAAATTTTGGTTTATTAAGTTTTTGAGTAATTAAAAGATTTCTAAGTCTTAAAAAGTTTTACGTAGCGTACGTAAGTTTACGTTTTAGCTTCTACATACCTACACACTGTCGAGGACCCGCACCAAAAGCTAGATATGCTTCTTTTTGTTCGGAAGTTAAATTTTGCCATCTAAACACTGGTATAACACACTTTTTCTAGGGTTTTTTCACCGATCCGGGTTGAACTCCTCGGCATCGTCGCCCCAAATCTCCGGATTGCGCTGGATGTAATAGGCATCGACCTAGATACGAATTGCTACAGAATTTTCCGTTTTCTTTAAGTTTTCGAGTTTTAAAATTTGAAAAGTTACCTGAATAGCATCGCCCTTTTCCAATTTGACCCCGGCAAGTTCGCAATCCCGCTCGGCCACCCGGCAGCAAGCCCTTTAAATTTTTAATTTTCTTTTGTGTTAAATCTAATCTAATTTTAATTTTAATTTAATTCCAAATTTCCGACTTACATAGTCCCTAACGGGTGCAATCTCAGCACCTCCTTCGCAACCATATCCAAAAATTTCAGTTCCCCGAGCTGCTCGTAGGTGATCTCCTAAAATCGCGCTATTTTTGGGCCGTTTTTGCTTACTTTCTCAGTGCAAACTTGCTCGATTTCCTCTTGCACTCGGCGTTGGATCTAAAAAGTTATGATATTGGTAGGTATCTCTTACTTCAGGATATTTCGTCAAATACCAGCTAGTATATGACAGTGCATTTGCTGTAGTATCATAGCCGGTAAGTAGGAAGATGAAGCACTGCATTACGATTTCGTCCTCTACCAGGTGACGGACTACCTAGAAATTACCTACTTTTTCAGGACAGGACGCTTCCAAATTCTGCAAATCGTGCCCAAAAACTTGCATGGCTTTGCCGCATATCCGCGTTTTCCTCGGCCTTCAGATCCACTTCGGCTTCCGCGTCCAAAAACAGGTCAATGTAATCGACGAGCTCTTTCTCTTCGGAAGTGGCGCCGCCTTGAGCCTTGAATTTTTAGTTAAATCTGGTTCCAAAAGCTTACTCTCTCCTTTTTCCGCTCAACAACAGCGTTTTTGATTTGTATAATCAGCGGCATACCAGCCAGCATAAAGATTTTGCCCAAGAAAATGAAGAATGCACGGAGGTACTAAGGTTATTGTGTTTTTCACGTGTTTGAAACAAATTCGCACCTTTTTCATGCCCGGAAAAATGCAGGCTAAGATAAAGAACGGGTCCCGCGGGTCACGACCAAGTATCTGGAAAAATTTATCGTTTTTAGCCATGTAATTTACGAATTTCAGCTCTTTGATGTAGGCATTGCGGAACATGGTACTTTCTTTTTGGCCCATTGCGACGCGGGAAATGATGTCAGCGGTAAGCTCTTGCCAATAGCTATAAATTATCAAAAAGTAGTTAATTCATGCAGTTCAAAATGTAAAGTATTATTAAAAATAGCCATTTGGTAACAACCTACTCGTGAATATCAATTTCTTGCCCCTCTTTTTCGGCGATGAGCCGTAGAATTTCTTGGGTAGAGCTTTTTACGGTAGGTAAAACCTAAAGGTTAGGTAAACTTAATTTCATCGTCTGTTTCCAGGTTTGGTTTTTGAAGAACTTCTATTATTTATAGATACCTTTTTCAAGCTGCTATTCGAAAACTGTGGTGAAACAAGGGATCGCAGGCGTTTCCATCTGTAGCCCCACGCGGCAGCTAGGTGGGCGAGGGGATCATCGGCTTCTTGTTGAAATAGCGGATTCATCGGCTTGAAATATAGTATGCTTTCTTTTGGCAATAGTTTTACATACCTTTCTTTGTTGGAAATCGTCAAATCTGGTATGCAGCAGTTCTTTGACAGTTTTCTGGTCGGAAACCACCAAAACACTGGTGGCACCCTCTTGATAACCCCATATTTTGCCGAATTTCTAAAGGGGCATTGTTAATTTATTGACATTATTTGTGCTTTTGTAGTGTATTTCGAGTTCTAAAAACCAAAAAGGCGACTTCTTACCTTTGTATATTTGGGTAATTCCGGAAACCATGCGCCGTTCGGGTCGGAAGCGTGCCATTGGAGCCCCAGGATTGGTTGGCCCTTGAGGTTGGGCACCCCCTTACTGTCCCAATATCCGGCTTTTAGGTAAGTTTTATACAAATAGTATCCTATCCATAGACATAAAGCTGATGCGATGATGAGAAAGAGCATCTAAAATGTTAAATCGACTTCATAGGAAAACACAGGAAAGGAAGAAGGACATTTGATACAATTCGAAAGCACAATCGAAAATTTTTTCGTAAAAAGGTAAAGTTTTAATTTTAGCCTCAAAGACCAGCTGGTAGAAAAAAAAATCGGCGTCAACGAGCAGATAAGCCGAGCTGGAAAAACGTAGAATTTCCAAAATACTACGCGCGCTCCGATAAGGGTGCTTTCGCTTTGATAGGTATTTGTAGCGGAATGGGCGTGACGAAATTTGAACTGGGCAAGCGCTTAGAATCGTCGTTTCGTCATTATCATCCAGGAGTAAAGAACGGAAACCTGTACTTGATAATAGTAGGATCGCTTAGGAAAAACAGAAGTGTGCTACATGGGCTTGGAAAACGGTTAGACGCCGATCCTGGAACCATTTTCAAGCGGGCAAGTAATTTTAAAAGGCTCCAAGGTCAGGGTCAACCCGCGGGTTCGCAAATAGAGGCAACCAGGCTGGCAAATAGGCACCCGTTCGGGTCACAAAATTGCGGAAAATGCGAGGGCCAGGTTTTGCTAGAAACGGCGCTTTCTGAAGGCTTTTTGGATCAATCTTCTTTTTTTCTGTATTGAGGTAAAATGTTGTAAAAATCAAAATCATAGCGGTTTTTGAGTATTGTTTTCGTGTGTTTTCAATTCATAGCTTGTAAATTTAAAGTATTTATTTTGTTTCCAATAACTATCGCTCCTTGGCGATGACAGTCACTGATTGCGGCGAAATCGTTATCCATCCGGTTAGCGCAAGCTTTTCCTAAAAATTTGATTAAATTCGCTGATGCTCAAAACCTCAAAATTCGGCCCAGCTTCGAGGTTATACTTTCTTAATACATTCGCCAATGCCAATTTCTCTTCCATGTAGGCAAACTTCATACCTGAAGCCAATTTTTGAGCTAAGGTTTTTTGCTCACCGACGCATTGTCTGGGGCCCGCGCCGAACGAGAGATAAGCATCTTTTTGTTCGGAGGTCAGGTTGTGCCACCTAAAAATAGTTGCGATTTGTTTTTTCGGACAAAATTACCGATCGGGATTGTATTCCAAGGCGTCTTCGCCCCAGATTTCTGGCGATACTTGAATGGAGTAGGCATCGATCTAAAACATTCCTGAAAATTCGGCTATCAAAAAAATACCTGAATTTGGTCTCCCTTTTCGAGTTTCACTCCTGCCAACTCGCAATCGTTTTCCGCTACTCGGGCTACGGCACTAAAATTATTGATTTTATGACGGCAAATTATTGATTTTTTAGAGAGCAGATTATAAGCTATTTTATAGTATAAGATGTATCGTTTTTATTAAGTTAATTTTCGTGTTTTAAGAGACTTACACAGTGCCTAGGGGATGGAATCTCAAAGCCTCTTTCACCACACAATCCATATATTTCAGCTCGGCAAGTTGTTCGAAGGTAATTTCCTGGAATTTATGGAGTTTAATTTTTTACTTTATAAGCAATTACTTTTGTCGTGCAGACTTGGTCAAGTTCTTCTTGTAGACGGCGTTGGACCTACAAAAAACTTTATTTTTTAGAAATACTTTTGTACCTCTGGATACTTTGTCAAGTACCAGCTCGCGTAGCTCAACGAGTTGGCTGTCGTGTCGAAGCCGGCCAACAAAAATAGGAAACATTGCATGACGACTTCTTCCTCAATCATGTGCCGGACTACCTAAACTTCGTCATGCTTAGCCGTTTTAATACTAAGCGAATTAAATTATGTCTATTTGGTCGGATACATGCAGATGCAAATTGCAACAATTACGATGGATTGAAAACTCGTTGAAACCTACGTGGTCGCGCTTCATATTCAAATTTTCCTCCGCCTTCAAATCGACCTCAGCCTCCGCATCCAAAAATAGATCGATAAAGTCGACCAATTCTTTCGTTTCGGACGTACCACCGCCATTTGCCTAATTGAAAGTTTGTATTACCTCCACGCAAAATTATTTTACCCTCTGCTGCTTCCGTTCCTTTACGGCTTTCTCGATTTTTATCAAAAGTTTGGCTGCTGCTAGCCCAAATAGTCGTGCCAAAAATATGAAAAGCAGGCGGACATACTCAAAACAAAAATTTTTCACGTCATAACTTCAAACTTTTTGGAAAAACGGAGCCGCACAGCTGAGGAGGAAGAGCGGCTCTCGTGGGTCTCTCGCAAATGCCTAAAACGTTAAAAACCCTTAATTTGGAGTTCTGAATTACATGTCGTAATTCATCGGCGTATTCGCTTTGGAACATTGTGGAACCCTGTTGTCCCATGGCAATTCGAGCAATGACATCGATGGTTAATTCTTGATAGTAGCTGAAAAGAATTGCGTTGATTTTGTCGTTTTATAGGTGCTAGAAAGCGAAAAATCGACCCTTCAATTAAGTAGGCGTCGACAGGTTTTCACTTTTTAGCTTCTTCAATTTTTGCCTAAACTCACGTGTGGATATCAATTTCCTGTCCTTCTTTCTTCCCAATAAGCTCTGTCATCGTTTTCACAGAGTCAGCAACTGTAGGAAGGACCTGAGGAGAGCGTAATGAACCAGCGTACCCTCTCGTAATTACCTTTTTCAAGCTGCTGTTCGAGAATTGGGGGCTGACAAGGGCTCGAAGCCGTTTCCACCTATATCCCCAGGCTTCTGCGAGATGCGTAAGCGGATCGTCGGCTTCCGGTTGGAAGAGGGGATTGCCCTAATTTTTTTGCTACTAATGCGTTACGATACGTTACGTTCAGATATACTGGTGTCACTTACCTTCCGTTGCTGAAATTCCTCAAATCTCGAGTGTAAGATCTCCTTCACCGTCTTGGCATCAGCAACTACCAATACATTCTTGACACCCTCTTGGAAGCCCCAGATTTTCCCGAATTTCTGGAAGGAAAAATAGAGCATTTCTTGACAATCGGGCCCAACCTGGGTGTAGTTAGGCAGCTCTGGGAACCAGGGTCGACTAGGGTCCGCGGTACGCCACAACGAGCCAATCAACGGTTTCGATTTTATATTAGGAACGCCTTTCCGGTCCCAATAAAACGACTTCTGGTAGCCCCACCAGATCCAATAGGCCAACCCGGCTATGGCGAGGGTAAAGAGCAGCAGGAGGAACATCTAAAAGTCTAAAAAAATGAAATCCAACGTTGTTCGGGCCCAAAAATGCTGAGGATTGTGATAAGCATAAAAACAAAGATGAAAAAGGTTCAGATAATATTAATCTTTATGAAAATTCATAAATGTCGATCGAATAATTGCGGTTGGGTACAAAACGTGGGTCTATTTATCTGCGACCTTGATGCAATCGCCGCCCTGCGGGAGTGCTTTTTGATCTGACGTGGGGAGTGGTCAGTAAAAACGGGACCGAGAAGGGGACTATAGAGTAGCCTAAAACAATTTTTCATCTGCTTTTTTGTACTTTAGTATCCATAATTTAATGGACATTTTAGAAAACAGGATGGGCACACAAAAATGGACACGATTAGGTGTTTCAAGAAAATGCAAATTTTCGCAAAACTTTCTGGCAGTGCTGTGTACTTGGCGATCCATATTCAGGTAAGTTAATAAAGATATAGGGGCCAGTTTTTACAAAGACTTCCTCAAAAGTCTAAATTTTACTGGGAAAATCGAATCGATTCGGCACCCGCTGCCCCCCTGGAACGAGTGCGGAGAGAGAACCCCGGCCAAAACGCGCAGAGTAAACAGAAAAAACAACACGAAAAACAGCGCAACTCGTGAACTCTACTGCTCGCTGGTCGCTATTGCATCATGTCGTTGATCTCTGTGATACAAATTCGAAAGACAGTAAAATGAAATAATTTATTGCAAAAATCGGAAAATATTAGTTTCAATTCGTTCGCTTCTCGACTTTGACCGTTACAGAAACAGGTGAGATCGTGAGGAAACCGTTGAGATCGAGGACTTTCTAAACGAAAATATTTGTGCTATCTCTTGATTCGGCTTTACCTCCGTATTTGTACTTTCGACAAGCGTAAATTCGCGTAGGACGTTGGCCAGGGCCAGCTTTTCTTCCATATAGGCTAGCCGCATTCCTGGAAAATAATTCGTATGGCACTCTCTCTCTCTCTCTCTCTCTCTCTCGCTCTCTCTCACTATCTCCCCTTCGAAAATCGTTCATAACTTACCAACGCACTGCCTTGGCCCAGCTCCAAAAGTGAGAAAGGCATCTTTTTGCTTGGAACTCAACTCTTCCCATCTAAAAAAACATCTCAAGTTCTTCCGGTCGGAGGTACCTCTCTGGCCTGAACTCCGCCGCATCCGATCCCCAGATTTCCGGGTCCATCTGGATGCTGTCAGCGTCAATCTATACACCAGAAAATGATTTCCGAAGGTTTTAACGAACCTGGACTTCATCACCTTCCTCTATTTTGATTCCAGCCACCTCCAGATCATGGCCGGCGCGTCGGCACACAACCCTGAACGATGGCAAATTGTAGGGAAATGGAAGTGTTGCTAAAAGCTCTGCAAAAAAGGGGATTGGGCAACTCACGAAGCTCCGAGGGGATGAAGTCTGAGTGCCTCTTTGACGACCATGTCAAGGTATTTGAGCTCGTTCAGGTTGTCGTAGGTGATGTCCTGAAATTTGAAATTATGGAAAATGAGTTAAACTAGGCTTAGGCTTAGGCTAAAATTGGGCTTAGGCTCAAGCTTAAGTTGGGCTTAGGCTTCAGTTTAGGCTTGGGCTTAGGTCTAGCTCAGGATACATACCTCGGTCCCGCAAATTTGTTCGATTTCATCTTGCAGGTTTCGTTGGACCTAGAAACATGGCTTTTAAAGACAATTTTCCTCAATGATCTCTGCTAGCCTGTAGCAAAGGGTAAATTTTTACATAATTTTCGTGAGAAAAATGATCATAACAAAAGTACTTGCTCAATTAAAATGTTTCTACCAACCTCCGGATTTTTCGCCAAATACCAGCTGCAGTAGGACAACGAATTTGAGGTGGTATCAAAACCGGCAGCCAAGAACAGAAAGCAATTCATCGCCACCTCTTGCTCCGTCATTTGCTTGAGGTTCTAAAATACAGCTGCATACCGTAGTAGGCGATTTTTTTTTTACCGCGTCCTTTCGATCTGTGTGCAATTCCGCCGCTAAATCCACCGTGGCTTCAGCGTCGAGGAATAGGTCGATAAAGTCGATGTGGTCTTTTGTGACTTTTGACGGGTTTTTGGCCTCTTCGGCCTAAAAATGGCTTATTTATGCTTTTAGAGCGATAGAGAATTTTAATTTTGAGCGGAAAGACATTTTAACGCACCCTCTCCTTCTTTCGCTCCGACACCAAGCTGTGCATTTTCAAGATCAGCTTCAGCGGGGCGATGTTGGTGAACAGGGAAAAGGCGAAGAACATTTTTCGGATGATCTGTAGATCAAAAAAATCTATATATTGTAAAAATTGTATACTTACATTGTTAAACCACGGCATCGCAGCTGCCACGACATAGAAAGGATCTCGCGGGTCGCGAGCAAAGACCTAAAATCAAAATCATGGTCTTACGGTAGTTTTGTTTACAGTATTTTTCAGTTGCATCGACGGTACTAGCTTGAACTATATTACAGTAACCTACCGCTCGTAGTAGCGCTATGTAATTCCCGGCCCATTGCGTCGACTCCTTTGGCCCATGGCGATGCGGGCGATGCAGTCCATTGTGTATTCCTGGTAGTACCTAAATCAGGTTAAAATTTGGGTTATCGAGTTATCGAAAGGTTAGCTTAAAAAATGAAATAAGTCCTTGCTACTTACTTGTGAATATCAATATCTTCCCCATTCTTCTTTTCCATATGCAAGAGGAGGTGCTTTGCGGAATCGGCAAGCGGAGGGAAGACCTGAAAATGAAAGGAACGTAAATTCCTGGTTACGCTTATATTTTTAAGTACGTTTCTATACACGGACCCGCTTCAAATTGTTGTTAGAAAACTGCGGAGAAACCAGCGAGCGCATCCGCTTCCACCTAGCGCCCCACGCCTGCGCCAAGTGCGCCCTCGGGTCATCCCCGCTCGGCTGGATCACAGGGAATGCCTGAAGTTGAACAATAATCACTTAATAGAAGCAGTTAGCTTACCTTTCGTTGCTGAAAGTCGTCGAATCTGGTGACCAACACCTCCTTGGCCGTCTTGAGGTCGGCAGTTACCAAAATGTTCTTGACGCCATCCTGGTAGCCCCAGAACTTGCCGAATTTCTGCAAAAATTGTTTCCCACGAAAGAAGAGGGTTCTAACCTTTGTGTAAATAGGCAGCTTTGTAGTCCAGGCAGTTTTCGGGTTGCTGGTGGTCCAGATGTGGCCGAAGAAGAGTTTAGAGGGGATATTGGGGATGTTTTTGCGATCCCAGTAGGATCTTCGATCGTTCGCCCACCAGATGTAGTAGGCGAGGAGGCCGAGAAGGATCGCTCCGGCTAATAGAAGGAACATCCTATAATAAAATATGTTTGACATATGGCATTACACCATAAAAAAACACCAAAAACTCATAAACAAAATACAGCGTTTTCTGAATAGAGATACGCGAGATTTGGCCCGCCTTTTTGAGAATGAGAATCGGAACTGACACTTTAACTTTATAGTAAAGAGATAACAGTCATAATCGATTAAAAAATTGTATACAAAAGGCAGAAAGTTGGAAGTTGGAAAGCTGCAATAATCCGATAATTTCGATAAACTATGGCAAAAACTAAAAATACTAAGCGACCAAAATACGAAGGCGGAAGCACCAGTTTTTCGCTTAAAAGTCTTTTTAATTCAAATCCCAATTACTCAAAAAATTTAATATTCGTATTGAGTTTCACTAGAAATTGTTATAGGTTTATATTTGTGGAGGTAGCGGCAGCTCGTCAGATCCAAATTTATACCTTGGAGGCGGGCAATTCCCCCTAGATTGCATTCTCTTTTTCTTGTTTTCCTGCTCGAAGCCGGGGTTTCGAAAGACTCTACCCAGTTTGCGTGATAAGACAGTTTTCCCTTTCCGTGGAGTGCCCCGGCGACCCTTGGCCAGGGCTCGCAGCGTTTGACTTGTGACACGGGGAAAGAGCAAAGAGAGAATATGACTCTGATTCCTCTGACTGGGTGACCATGATAATTGCCGCAGGTGGTTTCGACAAAAATTAGGCTCGTTTGAGCTTCAGAATTAGTTAGGAAGCTTTCGAAAGTGATCAGAGTGCCCTACAACGAAAACTCGAGAGAAAATTTCGAAAGTCGAAATCGTCCAACCGCAAGGCCTTTTTTGTTGACGAAATCCCATGAAATACCTTTACTTTCAGAAAGTATTTGTTTTCTATTGTCGGTATGCCAAACCGAGTTTCCAAAAAAACGACCACCTTAACTCGACGCAGAAGTATCGGATCGTAAGGGTAGTCAGGCGATTCGACAGCCCTTGAAACGGCGAATTTGCAGCAATTTTCAAAACTATTTTATTGAAACCAGCCACTTTTACGAAACATTCGGTAGAATTCTTCGGTTTTTCCGGGTTGCATACGAGCTATATGCTTCTTTTTTGGTACTATTGAAGTTGGGGGGGGGGGGCAAAATTTTTTTAGGTCATTTTTAGGCTACTTGATCAGTTTTTCGTGGCTAATCCAGCGCAATACTCAACTCCTAAGCTAAGCTAAGCCGAAGCACAGTTAAATTGAGCTTGAACAAAGCTAAGTCGCAGCCAAAAGCAGTGATGCTGTGACGAAGCCAAGCTTAGGGCCAGGTACTAAGGTTTAGGCTAAGCATAAGCCTAAGCCTAGGTTAAACTAGTTCTAAGCCTAGCCTAAGTTAAGCTTAAGCCTAAGCTAAAGCCTAAGCCAAGCCAATACTAAGCTAAGCTAAGCCTAAGCCAGAGAAAAGCTGACCAATTAGCCCAAAAATGACCCGAAAAAAATTTTGCCCCCCCCCCCCCCCCAACTTCAATAGTACCGAGTCGTTTGACACCTGAATTGATATGACGAAAGAAGAGAGGACAAGTATTTATCTAAACAACGGCAATAGCCTAAAATAACACAAGCAGCCAGACAAGACGGGCGGTGTGGGAGGAATGAAAAAGACACCGCACAAAAAGGGGGTTGTGCCGGGGGACGGGGAGGGCGCACACAGGGCGCGGTGCAAAGGGGTGCACCGTACTGGCATCGCGTAATTGGATCAAAAGACTTTCTTCTCTTGCTTCCGCAACATTTTCCAAGCAAAATGTCATGACCAGCTGTAGGCGTTATTTACAAGGGAAGGGCACACGCACAGGTTGGAATTTCGTCAAACGCTCGCGGCTACCCCCGGGTAATCGACTATGGAGAACACGATGCCGCTGTCCGATTTTCCTGCCGAGCCCTGTGGACAGAGATACAGCACTTCCGGAAAATCATGATTTACATGCGAAAAATTAGAATCCCGGGAAGGTTTATTAGGCTCTCCCATCAGTATGGGATCACCAGTTGAATGGCCGATTGGTAAGCAACTCGCTTGATAGGATACTGACGAGGGTACGGATCCGCTCGTGATTTTTCGTTTTGCCTTTTGACAATTTTTTTGCAGAAGTCCACAACTTTTTCTAAATGTGTAAAAATACTCATTTGAAGCCGTATAATACCTCTAGCATTCAAAGAAAAACTTTTTCGAAAAAGTTTGTTTTTTGGACCTTCCACCTATCCATCGGCTGTCAAACTATCAAAAAATTATGGGGGAAAATTTTTGCCCAAGCCAAGCGTGACGCTCTAGTTTGGTTTGCAACACCTTATCCTGTTTAAGGGCCCTGGTCAAGTTCGTTAGACAGCGATTTCATAAAAATTTTCCAAAATTAGTGAATTTGATAAGCCGTTGGGTCGATGGATGCTCGAATGATTGCAAAAACAAACTTTTTCGAAAAAGTTTTTCTTTGAATGCTAGAGGTATTATACGGCTTCAAATGAGTATTTTTACACATTTAGAAAAAGTTGTGGACTTCTGCAAAAAAAATTGTCAAAAGGCAAAACGAAAAATCACGAGCGGATCCGTACCCTCGTTAGTATCCTTTCAAGCGAGTTGCTTACCAATCGGCCATTCAACTGGTGATCCCATACTGATGGGAGAGCCTAATAAACCTTCCCGGGATTCTAATTTTTCGCATGTAAATCATGATTTTCCGGAAGTGCTGTATCTCTGTCCACAGGGCTCGGCAGGAAAATCGGACAGCGGCATCGTGTTCTCCATAGTCGATTACCCGGGGGTAGCCGCCAGCGTTTGACGAAATTCCAACCTGTGCGTGTGCCCTTCTCTTGTTAGATGCAGAGGCCGTTTCTCATGCATTGTAAAATTGCGAATTTAAATTAAAAGATAGTTTTGAAGAGAGTTCCAAGTTACCATTTCACGAGCTTTCCGATGGCATAAGTCCCATTCCGGTCCGGCCCTTCTCCGTCGAGTTAGAGGGGGCTTTTTGGGGCAGCCTATACTGCCGATTTCCCAATTAGCATAGCCGGATATCATAGTGATTTTTGCCTGATAACCCGCAAAAATGGCAACATTCCGTTGCTCTGAGAAACCATGCGGGCGTGGCTACTGATTGGTATTTTTTGTCTGAATGTGTCGGTATTAAGCTTTATTTAGCTTCGGTCTATTGGGTTTTGAACGCCGCCGAGTCGTCGGACGGCAACTCGGAGTACAAAGTGCGTGAAATGCCCAATTGCAGGTTAACGTTGGCTCCTAGGTGGACAGCGGAAATGTGTGCATCACCCCAGGCTGCGTTCGAGCGGCTGCAATCGTGGTAGCCTTAGAGAACGTGGGATCTCTCAAAATTGAAGATGTTTAGCTCGAGAACATGGACAAGGCCGTCGACCCGTGCTTCGACTTCCACGAGTACGCTTGTGGTCGTTACAATCAGGTGTGTTTTAAGTAATTTGTTACAGACGAAATGATCATTGAGGAAGAGAGGGAGGGAGAGAGAGAGAGAGAGAGAGAGAGAGAGAGAGAGAGAGAGAGAGAGAAATCGAGGGATAGGGAGAGTGTGAGAGAGAAAGAGAGAGAGAGAGAGAGAGAGAGAGAGAGAGAGAGAGAGATAGAGATAGAAATAGAGAGAGAGGGGAGAGAAAGAAATAAAGCGAGAGAAAGAGAGTAAGAGCGAGAGAGAGAGAGAGAGAGAGAGAGAGAGAGAGAGAGAGAGAGAGAGAGAGAGAGAGAAAGAAAGAAAGAGACAACAACCATCAGAACCACTTCTTTAGAGAGAGCCGCTCGACTGGACTTTTACCGCTTTCTATGCACTTCAACGGCGGATTATAGGTTAAGAAATTAATAAAAACAACTGCTTTTACCTACCGTTTTCTTAGGCTACCTTGAGGATGAAGATGCCGACAAACTGGGGCTCAATTCGCTGAAGAAGGCCCAAAAAATGTTCAAGGCTTGCAAGCAGTTCAGGGAAATGCCGGATACTAGCCAGTAAGGTTTAACATAGTTAATAAAAGTTAATAAAGTTAATAAAAGTTTATAAAATTTCCATTTGCAATTTCCAGCCTATTCCGCGAGTATGCCATCGACAAATTCGGATGGCTGCCATTAGTGCAACGGGGCAGACAAGTGGCAGGAACCATTACTTTTGAGTAAGGTTCTTTAGGAAAATACCGATCTGATGGCAATCCTAACGTCATTCACCACCGCCGAGTGGATGCCACTCATTCAAAGGGTCTTTGAACGTGATGGGGTTGTGGTGGTGGTGGGTCTCAGTCCGTGGACAAGCTTTTTTAACAACATTCAGGCTATTGAGGGCCATCAGAAAAAAATTGGGGAAAAGAAGGAAGCTATTGAGGAGCTGTACAAAGAAGTGAGTTCGTCTACGATTTTCCAAAACTTGACCTTATTAATTTCGATCCTTAAATTACGTTTCAGAGATTCAACATCAGCACCAAACTATTGGGGATTCCGATAAATACTCTGGACGTCGTGGTGCAGCGGCAATTCGCTGAATTGGTCGAGTTTCAATTGAAGATCAATGAGGTGCTTTTTTGCTTAAGACACGAGCCTTTTTAATGCTGCAGATAGTCGCCGGGGCGCAAGAAGTCAGCGGTGACAGCAATATGACATTTCGACAATTTCGAGAAGCCGCGTCACCGGTCGGACACTACATTGGGTTCTGGTTGGCTTAACGTGGTTTTTGCGCCTGTTTTCGCCAAAAAGTCAAAAATAATATTTTTCAGATTTTTGGCCCAATGGGTTTTTTATGTGAAAACTGTAAAAATGCCATAAAAATAGTTTTTATTTTATTATAGCGGACCGGATGGCATCCCTAAAAAAATTTGGTTCACGCTAGCAGTCCCGTCCTTTTTCCCTTCCATTACACCTATTTGCAGCCTCCCCCCGATAAGGTACCAATACCTCAGAATGAAGTTGGCATACTGTAATGAGCATTGAGTCAACTACCAGATGCCGTACATTTTCAGTTGGACATTCGACGGTTCATCGGGCCTCGGATGCGCCAGAAGGATTTGGCATCGCTACGCGACGATACGCCTCTCAAGATCACGAGCAAACACCAGCGCGTATTGAAAGGAGTAAGGAGGGTTATAAAAAGCGTATAGATCGTCACTTTAGATGGCCCAGCTCTTTTCGAAAACCAAGGAGGAGTTGCTGCGAAACTTTTTCTTGCTCGCCTGGGCCGAGAAGATGGAATTTGCATCGCGTGCTCTTGAGGACGTGGATTGCTATAAATGGGTAAACAAGAAAAAAATTTGAAAAGAAAATACTGGCTATTAAGACCCAAGAATCCTATCTACAAGTGATCGACCACGTCGTCGCCGCCCGCCTCCGCGATCCAGACGATCTGCAGCGGGCAATGGTAGGAACGTTATCATGGTTTTACAATGGAAACTACCAATCTAGGAAATGGTGCCACCCCTCCAGAATGCCTACGTCGAGGTCATCAACGAGAACGAGTGGCTGTCACCGGTATCGAAAGCATGGCTGCGTCACGAGGTGGCAAAAACGGTTTCTTATGACCTCAATTCTTCAGATGACCACCGCCGCTTTCAACTTTGGGCCCGACCCGTTGGTTCTTAGCCCGAACCTCGTTGATGAGTTGTATGATCGGGTATAGGAATTGGTCAACGATTTAAAAAGTTATTTTAGGACCACGGCGCCAACTTCACCTCGTTCATCGACACCTTATTCAACGGCAGATTTTTATGGCACTTGGGGGTACGCGGTTAAGGCGCACGATGTGCAAATTTGGCTCGACTTTGTAGGATCTCAGGAAAGAGCAGGACCAGCCGTCGGCAATTCACCAACACCATGAAATTGGTGAGCTGTCCTGAGGCATGGTTGAAGCGATGGAAGCTAAGCCTAGTTCTGAGCTAGGCCACAGCCAAGCCAAAGAAAACCTAAGCTAAGCCTAAGTTAAGCCTAGGCTAAGCCTAAGCTAAGCCTAAGCTAAGCCTAAGCTAAGCCATTCAGCCAAACAACGGCCTAATTCATATTGTCCAGCCATTGTCTCCTTCTTCTTCGCATCTCCATTCTTTTCCCATGATTGGCCGCTGGAAGCGCGACTTGGCGGCCTCGGCGCGATCATTGCCCATGAAATGTCGCATACACTCGATTTGCCAAGTGAGTTTTAATAAAATAATTTTGGTCCAAAAGCCCTGACGACAGCCACTTCAGGCAAATTCCCAAAAGACGCCCCCGAAGAGGACCGGGCCGAGATGATGGAACGTCAGAAGTGCCTCATCGAACTGTTCGACAAGATGGAGTACCCGAATCCATGGCTGAATTTTACGATCCGGGTGCATTTTTTGGGAAGGGAAAATACACAGCTTTAGTTGACTGGCGAGGTGGCGCTGCACGAGTCGACGCCCGACCTGAACGGGTTGAAAGTGGCGTATAGGGTACGATGAACCACTCCAGCCTGCCGCCTCATTGGGAGTTTAGGCGTACCTGAATGAGAAAAAGCGCTTGTTCAACAACGAAACGCCTCGCTGGCCAGGGCTTACGGAATACACCGCCGAACAGACATTCTTCCTTTTTGATGCCCAGGTGCGGCATTTAGGATTTAGAGAGAGCAAGCGAGAGCGAGAAAGCGAGAAAGAGAAAGAGGGAGAGAGGAGAGAGAGAGAGAGAGAGAGAAAGAGAAGGGAGAGATTGAGAGAGAGAGAGAGAGAGAGAGAGAGAAAGTGAGAAGGCTAGAGAGCGTGAGAGCAGAAGAGAGCGAGGCCGTAATAGCGCGAGAAAAAGCGAGGGAGAGAGAGCGCGAAAAAAATAGTCTGGGTTTCATCCATCTCTATTTCCAGAAATTTTGCGGTCGCCTCACCTGGCCGCCCACCCCGGATGACAGTCTTTTCGACGAGTGGGTGAAAATTTTGAAAAGTCTGTTTTACCAGCTGCATCAAAAAAGTTCATTCTAAACTATTCTTTCAGCCCTCACCCACGACCCCCCTACCGCGCCAATTTCGTATGAATCGATTGATACAATTAATCAACTACTTTCTAGCTCTACCAAAACTTTGAGCCTTTCGCGAGCGCTTTTCGCTGCCCGGTATGTTATTTTTACCGCCATTTTTAATCCGAAAAAAAAGAAAAAAATCCGAAGCTCATGGTTTTTAGATCGGCACCCCGATGAACCCGCCGAAGAAGTGCCGCATCCTGCGCCACAAGAAACTGCTCTAGGCCGAGGGGATCAGGAAGCAAGCACTTATCGCATTGTTTCGCTCTTGGTCGTGTGTGTATTTTCTTGATCATGTGCGGGTTTTGCAATAAAGGGTTTTGTCGAATAAATCTGGCTCGAATGCTTCCTCCGGAATTGAGGTACTTCCTCATCATCTGGGGGCGGGGGAGGGGTAAGTTTCTGTCGAAAATCATTCTGCTAATAACAAAGGGTGTCTCGCTCGTTATTTTGTGCTAGTTGAATGTCAAAGGCCTAAACACCATTTAAAAAACAAAAAAAAAATACCGATTTTTGCCCACGAATTTCGAGTTTTTACATTTATTTTTGAGGCTTTTATAGTTATTCCGCTTCCGAACGAAATTAAAAACTAAGCTGTCAAGATGGCTACTTTTATGCTACAAGAAGTTTCCATGGATTTATGTTATTTATCAGTTGCGGCTTAATCTGACTAGATCTGCAAATTGCAAATTCAAGCGCAAGTGATTTTTATCGTGAAGCACGGCTTTGAAATCCATCCCATGATTGAGCTTGCTCATCACATATCCAACAGTCTTGTGTTATACCTAAATTGCTGTTTTGCTATGGAAAAGGGTAACAGCGCGGGGGGGGGGGGTGGGGGAGTAAATAGTGCGTAGTTGTAAAAACTTACCTCGTACTTTGAACATTTCCTCATAAAACTCCCGCTACTGGTAGATTTTTTATCCAGGACCCTGAAATTTGCTGTTATCCACGGAAGACGGTAAAGGCATTTGTAGCTGTGTTTTGGAGTGCGAAATATTTGTCTATGCCTAGCCAACTAGCACGGGGTCGATTTTAACGATTAAAACAAGTTTAAATTATGGAAAATGTAAAATATGTCGAATGTTTTTGTAGCAGTGACAGCAGGAAGTCTTTAATCTGGTGGCTACTACTGACCTGGACATACGAAGCTGATGCGTGGCCCTCCTTTTTCACCCTGATATGTGTCTGGTCGTGCATACAGTATCGAATTCCAGATCGTTTCAGATTATGGCCGGTTTGCAGTGTAGGTTCAAGGATGTTTGCGCCTGAAAATTAACACAACCTGTAGAAGCCTAGAAATGTGTTGGATTACCGTTTCCAATTTAGTAAATAGACTCCCGTGCAGATATAGGCGGTGTCCATTCCATCATTTTACCGAACAAGCTAATGACGCTTGCCATGGTGGTGGTTCAACGATTTCCAAAAGTCCTGAGTGATACCTAAAATTTGCTGTTTTGCTATGGATCAAAGTAACAGGGGGAGGGTAAATAGTGCGTAGTTGTAAAGAATTACCTCTTACTTTGAACATTTCCTCATAAAACTCCCGCTACTGGCAGATTTTTCAGGCCGGAACCTGAAATTTGGTTTTTTTATGGTAAGGACGGAAAAGGCATTTTTAGCTGTGTTTTGGAGTGCTACGTATTTGTTGATGCCTATCATAGGGCAAGGGTAGATTTTAACGATTGTTAACAGTTTTAAATTTAAAAAAATTAAATTATGTCGAACGCCTTTAACCGGATAAAAAGGATACCATCAATATCAGGCTACTTACCTGCCCATACAAATTCATGTGTGGCCCTCTTTTTCACTTTGACGTGTGCGCGGTCTT